TCTGGAATATGTGATACTCAAGAATGCGTAACGTAATTTTAGTGATGATAGGTAATCCAACTGGTGTGACTGGTCCATGGGATTACTCACCATACAACTACCTACACACCTGTTGTACTATTGTGTTGAAGAAGAGGAGTAAGGAAAGCCTGGGAATACGACTAGTTACTCATCAGGATTGTAATTCCAGGTGTATATACTGCATGTTGAATGCATGGAGGGTGCATATTCCCTTAACAATAACTCCAACCAAGCATTTACTTGTGTGTAACGATTGCACCTTGGGTTACACTTTGTAATTTCATGGAGCTACTGATAAGATACCTAACAGGTGGTCAAAAAGTCACCAAAAACCAGCTCTACACTCTGAGCCTTTTGCCTTTTGGGTACCATTTCCCTGGGCTTAGTCTTGTTGCATTGCCTACACATACAATGCTGTGAAAACACTTCCTTGCTTCCAGTGTTGTAACCTTACAACCCCCGAAAATGTGGGGTGAAACCATTCTTGCTGCTCTGAACTAAAATTAATGGCAGAAAGAACTATCAAGAGTTGGCATGTCCAAACCTATGCATCTCTAGATCTATTGCAAGAAAAATGTGTGTGGATTATGCAGAAATAATACGTTTACTAAATAGATGCCTCACAATAAACGTACTATTGTTTTGATTACCCTACATGTGTATACATACCATAATGAATGAAGATGGCTACAGTGTTATGTGCAACAAATCTTGTGTTAGTTTCAAGACTAGCAATGCTGACACTTATCTACATACCAATGTAATCAGCGATTGCACACTGCGTAAGTCATTTCTTTTCTTGTTGGCTATAAGAAAAACAGACCTTCACGCTCCACGTAGTAAAACAGAGCTCCAGAGTGATTTCCATGTCCACCAACCACAGTCTCGGTGATACATCTACACATTCGAATGTAAACTATGACGTTCAGCCAGTAAGTAGTTAATTGCAACCTATAGTACATTCTACAGTAGTGCCATAGTTTTCCACACATATTTTGCTGTCACACAAGAGTCTCATTTGGTGCATACTGCACAAGTAAGTTCCTTTTCAGGATCATACGGAGGACACAGTATTCCATTGCACACTGCCTCGATGTAGTACAATAGAGCTCCATCAGTGTTTGGCAGCCTCACCATGTACTCTCTCAGGATTCTTGTCAACACAAGCTGAAGCTCTTCTGTGATGTTCATGATGGAGGTAACCAAAGTATTCCAGGGTCCACGAAGAAGGATAGGTGGTATGAGCTGGAATTGTTAAAACCGTTTTTCTTCGAATTGAGGGAAACAGCACATGCAACATTGTGGTCATGCACCCCTGGAATAGGTAAAGGTGCATCGTCAAGTTGATACTCAGCACCATATATTGGAGAATGTCCCTGTACACCAGGCTGGTATGTGGAGTATTCCGGTGTATCTGGGAGACAGAGATTGTCACTGGTTCCTCCTTGAACATAATAGAAAGTCCCTGCAGTTCATCCAGAGTAGACTAGTTCGGTACCAGGTGTGTTGGGGCAGGTGGTTCGACCCCACCTGATGTATGTGACTCCTCCACTGCTGGGTCCCGGAGGTCCCTGAGCTCCAGTATCTCCTTTCTCTCCTGTGGCACCAGGAGGTCCCTTAGGTCCAGGGCATCCGTCTCGACCATCTCGTCCGTCCCTCCCTCTCAATAGCTCAGGACATCCTTCATTGCTGTCACTGCTCTCTGCTTGCCGCTTGGTGACTTCCTTTCCAGAAGGAACAGCTAAGGCGTCACAGAATTTATTTGTCATTGCTTCGGGTTGAGTGATTTAAATTACTTACCTTGTGCCTTGACGAGAGCAAAGGTGAACAGAGTGATCAGAAGCAACAAGGGGCGCATTTTTGCTGTGTAGCTGTGATAATGTTAGTCACTTTTTTCTCCTGTTTGCTCTGACTGTTCCACTACTCTTGCTTTTATAGTCTCTTAGAAGGAATAGGTAGTAATGTGCAAAAGGTAGCCACACCCATTATCAATTTCCTAACATTATTGCACTCACAATGTCCAGTATTCAAGGGTTGGATCCAGTTGGACACTCCTTCTCGCCTTTGCATACATTGAGGTCATTGAGCACAAATAGTATGAAATGTTGTCATTTGTTACGTGGATGCCAGGCTCCTTTCCCCATTCAATTGAATGTTGAGGCAAGTATGACTGAGTGTAATTGCCCTGCTGCAAGAATGCAGGTGGTTTTGGTTGTGGTCTTATGTGGTTTGTAGCTACTATGGTTCCACAAACTTTACTCTTGTGCTCCATAGTATAGCTGCCAGCTCTGTTAAATCCATGCAATAACATTGCAATGGTCCGGAGCACAACTTGTCTTTTAGAAGTAATCCCCAAATTCTACTGAGTGTTTGTGTTTTGAGAAGAATAGGCCTAAGATGGACCGGTCCCTTAGAGAGTAGCCCTTGCAGTAAAATGAATCTATGTCAGATATCTCGATGACTTCTTTGTCAAGATAGGTCTTGTGTGTGGCTGCTATGAGCATATCTAAGCCAATGTGGTGATGTCATGTTTCTAAATTCTTGCTCTCTAGATCTGCTACACTTATGCAACATTCTCCAAGATCAAACGCTGTCTTTTTGTGATTGCCTGCATGACAAAAATTAATAACACCAGGCCCTAACTCTGGAGATCAAAATGAATTGTGAGTATGGAGATGGTGCGTAAGGATCAACCTGCCACCAACCATTTCACTATGTACTGGACACTCTCATGCCAGCCACACAAGACGCGGGGTACTGGTAGCATTGTTGCAGATTTTAACTGAATGCTTTGAAGCTTGTATCAGTTTTAATGCAGCGATGTTAACCATGCGACTTGGTTTAGGTTCCATACAGCAAAGGCTGCTATTATGCACTATGTAACTTATTAAGGTTGCATACAGCAAGTGTGAAGGAGTTGGAAACTCTCTTGCACTGGTGTTTTATTGTAGCACCATGTGTGTCACTTTTGCGTTAAGTTGCATTCACTGATTTTTATAATCACCGTAAATTTTACGACTTGCAATAGAGTATTTTCAAGCAATCACAAAAGTAGCACTAAGCATTAAAATTAATGTACAACTAAATTTCATATTTCAATGTCATTCACTATCATAGCACACACTAGTATCTACCAACAATTATAAGGATTTTCTTTAGCCAAAATGGTTCTTAGCGGGTGCATACTGCACATGTCATCTCTTTCTCTTGTTCATAAGGAGGGCAGGGTAGACTGCCACAGCGAGGCTCCACGTGGTAAAACACAGCTCCATCATGATTAGCATGTCCACCGACTACAGCCTCAGGTGATGCATCCACACACTCAAATGTTGATCTATGGTGGTTGTAGCGTTCAGCCATGAGATAGCCATAGTACTCGCGAGTCCAGTTCGGGGGACAAGTGTATCTTCCTGGGATCATGAGGTGAGCCACTCGGGTAGACACATAGCAAACAGCACATGGAACATCATCATCATTCAAGTGATGCTGTCCACGTGGAGTATTTCCAAAAATCTGATATTCGGCACCATAAATGTAAGAACTGTCCGCAGTGCCAGGACCGAAGGCAAGGTTCTGTGGTTCTTCGGTGACACATTGGTAGTTGCTGCCTCCACCAGTATGTGAATAGTGACTTCCAGCAGCCCAACCTTTGTAGACTAGTTCGGTACCAGGTGTGTTGGGGCAGGTGGTTCGACCCCACCTGATGTATGTGACTCCTCCACTGCTGGGTCCCGGAGGTCCCTGAGGTCCAGTATCTCCTTTCTCTCCTGTGGCACCAGGAGATCCCTTAGGTCCAGGCTCTCCGTCTCGACCGTCTCGTCCGTCTCTCCCTCTCAGTAGCTCAATGAATGGAGGAAATCCTTCATTGCTGTCACCGCTCCCTGCATGACGCTTAGTCACTTCCTTTCCAGAAGTACCTGCTAAGTCGTCAGAGAATTTGTCATTGCTTCAAGGTGACTGAATGTAAATTAATTACCTTGTGCCTTGATGAGAGCAAAAGTGAACAGAGATATCAGCAACCACAAGGGACGCATTTTTGCTGTGATGCTGTGTAATGTTAGTCACTTTTTTCTCCGTTGCACTGACTGTTCCACTGCTCTTGCTTTTATAGTCTCTTGTAAGCAATGGGTAATATTGTGCATCAGATAGCCACACCCAGTATCAATTTGCTAACAATATCACCCTCAGAAATATTGACTCACTGTTCTGTGCAGCTGGATGCATTATGCGTCATTTTGTAGACATATTACACAAGGTTATGAAGTTGTCATTTTTTACTTAGGTACATACCAGGCTGTGTTTTCTCACCTAATGGCCTGGAATTAAAGTTGAGGCCAGGTATGACTGAGTGTAATGGCCCTGCTGCGAGAATGCAGGAAGATGGTGGTGGTATTATGTAGCACTTCATGTGAGTGTTGCCACAGCAACCTACTATGAGAATTGGGCTTTACTCTTGTTCACCATAGTAAGTATGTTGCCAGCTCTGCAAAACCCTTATAATATACATCTTTTGGTGATCCCACTCATGTAGTCACCATGCTGCATTCCTATACAACACCTATCAACCACATGACAATTAATACATTGGTATGGGTAAGTTAAGTTAGCGTACTAGAGAGTAATTGGAGTCTGCCTATTTGTCTTAAGTATTTTTTCATCTTTACAAAGTAATGGTCTTACGCATTCACTTACAAAATTGTGACAGTACAAAAAGGATTACGGGTTGTTAATTTCAAACCAAAATACTGTACTACACGGGTCCACATTTATACAGTAGTGGCATAGTCTTCCACACTTGTTCTCACCCAATTTCCTCATTTTGTGCATACTGCACAAGTAAGTTCCTTTTCAGGATCATACGGAGGACACAGTATTCCATTGCACACTGCCTCAATGTAGTAGAATAGAGCTCCATTGGTGTCGGCAGCCTCACCAGGTACTCTCTCAGGATTCTTGTCAACACAAGCTGAAGCTCTTCTGTGATGGGTATGACGTTCTGTCATGAGGTACCCATGGTATTCCAGGGTCCATGAAGAAGGACAGGTGATACGAGCTGGAATTGTTAAAACCACTTTCCTTTGGCTATTGAGGCAAACAGCACATGGAACATTGTGGTCATTTATCCCTGGATTGGTAAAGATACACGGTCAGTGTGATACTCAGCACCATATATTAGGGGAAAACGCAGAATTTGTCATTGGTTCGGGATGAGTGATTGAAATTACTTACCTTGTGCCTTGACGAGAAAAAAGGTTAACAGAGTGATCAGAAACCACAATGGACGCATTTTTTTGCTGAGATGAAAATGCCAGTCACTTTTTTCTCCGTTGCACTGCTTTTATATTCTCTTGTAAGCAATGGGGGTGCAACTGTTAGCCACACCCACTTTCAATTTCCTGACATCATCTCTGGAACGTCCTGTATTCTAGGGTTCAATGCAGTTGGACGCTCCTCCCGCTTATGCACTCCTGGACATATTGAAGTTATTGAAGTATGGAGTGTTGTCATTTGTTACGTGGATATGAGGCTCCCCTTCCCCATCCAATTCATTGTTGAGGCAAGTACGACTGAGTGTAATGGCCCTGCCTGTAGATGCAGGTGGTTTTGGTTTTGGCCTTATGTGCTTTGTAGCTAAAATGGGGCTTTACTGTTGTGCATCAAAGTAAGTAAGCTGCCTGTTCTGCTAAATCTATGCACTCTCTGCAATAATATTGCAATGCAGCACAGCTTAAATTGGGCTTTGTTCTTGTGCATCAAAGTAAGTAAGCTGCCAGCTACGTATGCACACTCTGCACTAACACTAATGGACAACAACTGTATGAGTACTCATCCCAGATTCTGCTTTCTCACACAATAAGTTGTATGTGTGGGAGTGTGTGTGGGGGGCACTATAGTTGCCTGGCCCCACCATACCAATACTTCAAGTTGCTGCAACATTTATTGAAGCAATAAAGTTGCCGCGTGTATGGCCTGCTTAGAATACAACTACCAGCAATCTATGATACTAGGTATACATTCCACCGCAGGACTTCACATGCCAGCCACACAAGACGTGGGGTTCTTCGGTACTGGTAAGCCACCCTCGCTGCAACCCTTGCCACGGTCATGGGTCAATAGTCTCCACGGCTACCAGCTGCCCCCATTGACCACCTGCGACTTTACCACTCTCTCGATGACATCGTTTCACGTGGAGCGCTCTCTCTCTGCCTCATCTATAACCAGGCCCCAAGGTTACAATGCACGCTATATGCTGACTATATTTCTGTTTGAGAAAATTAATGGTGGTATAAAATATCTTCAGGATTGTTTCAACATTACAAGTGGGATCTGTGGGCAAACCTATGGTCAAAGTTGAACTTTAAAAAATCAGTGGTACTGTGTACCTCTCCTTTGTGTGCAACATTTTCATGTGTAAAAGTAAGCTAGACACATTTGTAAGTCGCTGCAATGAAGCTACTGAAGCAGGGTTATCTGTATAGAGTATATGAAGGATCGTGTGTAACATTTCAGGTACTACTACTCTTACCCCTACTGTGCTGGATGTGTGTTTGAAGTAGAGAAGAAAGTGCCGCTGTCCACGAGTCCTGGCAGGACACTAACAATACTCACCTGCTGACTCATCAGGTCTCATCTCCAGCTCTAGTGTAAACTCTTACTATTTTTGATTGTGCTCTAAGTAGGTAGTGCTCATGTATGCATTTAACATTGTAGTATTTGGAATGGGAGGCCACAGAGAGCAATGGCTAAGGGTAATACATGATGTGGCAGTAACTTTCAACTCCCATCCGTTTGACATGAAGATAACACACAAACATAGTGTGAAAAGTATGCATGGAAAAAAGTAGTCGCGTACACGGTTGCGTTAGAGTAGAGTGAGATTATGTAAGTACTTTGGTAACAATGATCCTTTATTACTCTAGGCTGCTGTAGAGAGCGAGGTGGTATTGAAACGATTGGAGAAGTCGTACCCACATGGTGGTGACTCAGAAGCTGCTTCTGCTGCTGTCTTTCTACCAGTGGTCCCAGCTACTGACCCTCACACTGAGTATGTTAATGTCATGGAGGATGTAGACACCCTAGTGCAAAATATTAGACCAACTAAAATCATCCCAGCATCAAAAGTGCTTTAGCATAACAAACAGACAGACAGAGAGACCCACAAACCAGTACAGTAAGTATCCTAACTATGCTGAAATTCTACTACTGTGTTTGTATAAGAGGTCATGTGGTTTAACGGGTGGGTTTGGTTACTCACTTCTGTTCTTAACTACCAAACCTTGAAAATCTTCGTTCTATTCACCAGTGAGAAGGCAGTTGCTGAAATAGATTTACCAGAGGTCCTGCTTCAACCACTGCTCAAGACTGGAGATGGTTCCATTTCTGCTATCGTCAGGTAGGGGATACTGTTATTCCCTCTCTCTGTTATTGTACTGCCTCCTCAAACTGTTGCCTCAGTGGTCAGCGGTCAGCCATCCTCCCTACTCATCAAGGATGCTACAGAATGAAGGGGTGTGGATGTTACCTGGACAAGGACGGCAGCAGAATCTCTTTCCCAGCTTTCCCAGTCCAACAAATGGAGGCATGCATCGCACATAATCCTTGCTTCAGTTGTATACAATGTCAAGGAACTATTGCATGCCTGCACATGTATGTTTCTTAGCGTGCTCCAGAAAACGCTCTATGTGCACGTTCTTGCTGGCACAGAAAGCCCTGCCTTTTCTGGAGGGAATCGCGGCACATTTCAGGGACAGACATCTTTATGCTCCATAATTATTACTGTATGACACCTACGCATGCCACTTAGAAGCGTTGACTGTAGAGTTTTGAAGTTTTGCAGTGGATATTTACCTTTATAGGCGAGCAAAGAGAGCATTCCTAGTTGTCTGAATGCGTTTTTTTCTATATGTATGGGCGCTGCACATACCATAATGTTATATACACATGATTCGTGAGAAAAATCAAACTGCCTTCTTCGCTCACCAAAAACGTGTTGCTAGTATCTTGTATAACCCTCCTACAACTGCACACACTGTCACACACATGTTTCTAAAGGGTGCGGAGGGCAAGTGGGAGGTGAGGGGCTGCTGTTTCAAACACACGGCTCACAACGAACAGCACATGTGTGATGTCATAGCCTCGGTTCTGGAGAAGGAGGGGATGGTTGTAGGGAACAGATCTCTCTGCCTTTGGCGCTACTCTATTCCTGGAGAGCCTGTGGATGTGGTTAGTTCAAATATGTTGGGTGAAAAGGATTGTACATGGGCCAGTAGTAGTGGGTTGTAGTACTGTACAAACATTTTAGCAGTATACAAGAGTAGTGAATATTGGTAGTAGAGGGTTCTGTGTGTTTGGAATACTGGTGGTCACCTGAGTGTTTACTATTTTTGTTAATTGGGGCACCGTTTTTATAACATTTTGTACAAGAACCTAACGCCTATCCTCTTAAATCCCTACTTACGTCACTTACGTAGTTTCTCCCTAGGCCTGGCCACTTCTATCTAGTTCTATAGTATCATCATTGTTTTAGCAGAACTCTCTAAAAGGGGGTTATGTACCATGCCATTCCACTTTACTTTGTAGTTGCTCATAACAAATGACACTACAATACAAAGGTGTGGAGAGATTAAGGAGGTGGCCTTTCAAAAAGTAATTTACCCACTTTCCCCCTTCAGTAAAAACACTGATCATTACACAGGTTCCAAAATACTGTGGAGTGTTTGAGACTCTCGGAGAGCGTCGACTTTCCTCTGACCTTCTCCCCGGTCTCTCCTCCCTCCTCCCTCACCTCCTCCCCTCCCTCTCCCTCTCCTCCATCCTCGCTCTCTTTCCCCCTGACCGGGTCTCACACACTGCCAATGGCCAGCCCTCAATACTACCAACCTGGTCAGCCTGTTGCACTGGAGGACAACATAAGAAGGTACAGAATGCACGTGAAGCAAGCAGTTCATTTTTCACATGTGTTTCAAGAATCACGTACGGTACGTGCAGTGCTGCAGTCAGTCGTTACCGATAATTCTGCATTCAGACGGCTAGGCAGGCTCGCTTTGCTCGCTTTACTTCTGCTGCTGTCCTATGCCGCCTCGTAGCCTGTAGTGCCAGAATAAGCGTCGACACACACACAGACAAACCAACTACTGTAACCCTCGCTGCGCATGCGTGCCGAGGGTTAAAAATGCATCTTTTACATTGGGGAAAAGACCTCCTTTAGAGAGTGGCATAAACCAACATGTGGTCCTGATGTGTTCATTCTTCCAACCAAATTTCCATCGTTGTCGAGTGCTACTGTTTCACAGAAGGAGCCCGTCAACCTGTGTCACACCCCTCTTCAAGAAACTCCACCCACCTTCACCCCAGAGGGTCTGTCAACTGGACTCCTTGGGGAATGGTGTCGTACAGTCTATGGTATGAAAGACCTCCTCCCTCTGAGTCAGGAACTACTGTGCACGTATGTAGCATTCACATTTTTACTGTCATGTGACCTGAATTTATAGCTAATGGGATGAGTTTTGCACTTGGTGCAAGGTCGAAACTTTTTATTATGATTTAATCTTTAATCGATTCTGATGGTCCTCCTGATTGTGTCCTAGGGTGAAAAGGTAGTATGTAGGTTTTATCAAGCATTTTGTCAGAACTTTTTTGCGCAAACTACTGAACTCAGGAGTTTCAGGCAGTGATGTTCAAAGTTTGCTACAGTACCAGTGGCAGATCCAGGGGGTTCCCTATCTGTCGTTTTGCGCGCACGTGATGCCAGCCTCGTGCGCGCACACGAGCACGGTCAAAAAACGTTCTGGACAGCGGAACCCCCCTTCCAAAATCCTAGATCTGTCACTGAATACAAAGACATATGAAATACACATTCTCTTTTGGTCAAGCTTTCCACCAATTGGTAGAGGTAGCTATTAGTAGTTTAGTAGGCTGCCTAGGGTATTTCAATCGTTATCTGAAATTGACAAAATAAAGCTACTTCAGAGCTTCTGCTTAGTACATATCAACTTGTATTTAGCTATACACCGTCAATAATTTAGCACTCTTCATAACCCCCACAGCCATGGCTCTGTGCTGGCCGCATTGTACTGGAGACTTGGCTGGGAAGTGGGCGTGGTTTCCTCTACCCTGGCAACCAATGGGATAAACTGGGGCTACTTCTTTGACCACAATCCCTTTGAGCCCCACTGCAACCAGCACCCCAACAACTTTGTCATCCTACCTCCTGTGAGTGGTGTGTGGGGTTTATTAGTGTGGAAGAATGAAAGGTTATCAAACTTGGGGTCTCATGTGACAGTCACATGACTTAAGATTCAGTGTAGGAGCCTGCAGTACCACAGAAGTTTCCAGCAATGTTGTAATTAAGTAATGTCAGACGGCGTACATCACATTGTGTGACATCGCAAGCTTGGGCTCAAACGATGTATTCTGAGCTACGTAGTACACTGCCCATGTGACTGTGATTATTCATACATCTCGATCATGGAACATTACGCACAAGTAGAGGATATGTAAACGACTAAGTAGAACACAATGTCAAATTTAAACTCTTATACTATGTAGGGACACGAGAACCTCCTTGCCCCGGTGGACTTTGACCTGGCATTCACAGCCGACAGATTCGTATCTCCCTACACCGGGACCAACGACCAGTCTCTGTTCCAGTCGTGGCTGGACTCGGGACTGACTGAGATGGAGAGGGCACTGGGAGGAGAGGCTGTCAACACTGGAGTGCTCACCAGTGCAAAGGTAAAGAGAGTAGTTTATGGTGGCTCATTCCTTACACTGTCTTTGCAATGCACGTTTTTGGCCGTCCTGCGTTTCTCCAACACACAAACTGAGATAGCTGCTATATGTAAGTCTTGTGAAGGATAGCTCATTGACACTCAAGATTTCTTCCTTACAGTATTATAGTAATAGTGATTGGTGTGGTTATAGCTAGTTGTTGTGCTCATCATTGGTGTGGGTCTCGCTGTTTTTTCACAGTTTCTCTATGCACAGAGATTACTAGACAAGGGCATGGTTTAGTGTCTATGCTATGCTTCTCACATTTTCTTATGGTAAAGAGGGATGATTTGTATAATGTATACGAATAATATTACCATCTCCTGCTGGTGGGTATGGTCGTTTGTCTACTGACACACAGGCAGACCTGTCGCCAAGCCACTCAGCGTTGGAGTGGGGTCTAAGGGACACACTGGTGTGTGGCTACCGTGAAGCTGTGTCCACTCCATCCCGTCAAGCTCCTCCTCCTCTTCCCCCCTCCCTCCGGAAGACCATGGACAGTCTCATCAGACTTGCTCTCATTGTGTCCTCGAGGCCCTAGAGCAATATTTTATGTGCACACATCACAAAACTACTAGTGTTTGCGATGCTTATTGACATGAGATTAATTTTTATTTTGCTTTGGTGAATAAATAATAGTTTCATGAGAATAATTATTCATGCCTGAATACAGCACATTTAAGATTTGAGAAATCCTCTTACCCTTATTGGCGAGCAAAGCGAGCCTGCCTAGCCGTCTTGATGCGGATTTTCCGTACCACACTGCACATAATTAATTTCTCGTATTATCATATGTGGTTCTAAATAATATAGTGCACAAAAATTTGCCTGCTCTTGCATAAAAAAAGTGTTGCATTCGTTCTGGCCACTGGCCCAAAGCACATAGCTTTTAACAGCACAATATTTATTAAGACTGGCGTGCCCATGCTTATGCGTGCTTTCCAACGCCCTTGAGTTAGAGGCCTTGTCTCAGAGTAATGATACACATCACCAATACAAATCTACAGTACATAATGTCGTACAATATTGTATAGAAACTGCGTCCACATATCCCTTCATGCACACTGTCCTGCTATTACTACCGGAATTGTTACAGCTACGTGAGACAATGAAAAGCACTGAAGTGCAAACCCTCGCCGCACTGTGACGCGCACGCGTAAGTAAACGCATGCGCCGTACCCGAGCAGTAATGATGCGGCTGGGTTTAGTTTAGAGCTGTTACTCGTTGCTCTTGCCAGCTCGCGCAGGAGTCAGAGTCTGACGCGGGCTGAACTACACTAACTAGATAGCATGCGAGAGGCGATACACGCCCTGCGTTGCGGTTTTTTGCATCTTCTGGTGCTCGAAGTATATAGCGCAGAGCCGACCGCTGTAAGCCATCCCGCCGTTGCGTATTGCATATAGCTTTTCGCGCCTCTAGCTTGCAACGGAGCATGTTCAGAAGAAACGCGTCCTTTATTTCTGACCTCGTCGCCCGTTAGGGTAGATGGTATCGTTTCTGGGACGAGACAGACGTTCGAAGGAGTGAGATGTAGACGAACCGGACGACAAAACAAGACCAGACAGACCAATGAAACGCACTAAAGTGCAAACCCCTCGGCGGAGTAGCGGAGAGAGTCTGACACGGGCTAGCTACAGTAGTAGATAGCACGCGAGAGGTCGATACACGCCATTCGTTGTGACTTCTTGTGCCTTCAAGATAGACAGAGCAAGCGGACCCGGTCGAGGTAAGCCTGCTAAATATAAGCGCATGCGCATTATCCGCCAGCGATAAAATGGCGACTACCGGCATTAGCCATACAATGCTGGAAGCGCTGTAGCTCTGCAACGGAGCATTTTCAGAGAAAACCCCACATATTTTCTGACCTTCGTCGCCCGTTGGGTAGATGGTATCGTTTTTGGGACGAACAGACATTCGAGAGGTGAGATGTAGAGTAACAGACACACACACACAGACAAACTACAGTACCCTCGCTGCGCATGCGCGCCGAGGGTAATAATAATAATTGTTCGTTGCAGTTAGGTGGCTAACTTAGCCACTGATTCATACTAGGTGCAGAATTGTACAAACACACAAATGAAATGTATTAAAGTGTAGAATGTGTGACAATACAGCAACAACAAAAAACTGGGAGATCGTATCATATGGATCCTAATTCGTCTGTCGGTTTTTCGTTGAGGTGTATGTCGATTTCGTAGGGACCCATGCCGTTTTTGTCTCCTCCGATGATGGATGGAGGGAATTGTCCACTGTATAGGCTCTCCTCCCGCTGCAGCTGGACTTGGTCGCCCAGCTCAACCCCGTTGGTCATTCTGTTAGGATCTTCGTAAACTGGTTCCTTGTTGGGGATGAAGCGAGCAAAGGTTTGAGGGTGATGCTTGCAGAAAATGTACAGGAAAAGAACAGCAAAAGCCGTGCCGATGATCACCACGACAGCTACAACAACCACACCGATAACAATTCCATCGTTTGCTGCTTGAAGGGAGAAGAGAACCAGTTTAAACAATGCTGGTGGTCACCAGTAAGACTTATATACATCCGATACACACACTTAACACCAAGCCACGGACACATAAAAAAGGTGTCCAGAGCCTCCATAAGTCCATAAGAATTTATATGGGGGTTATAATACTAGGTGCTAATACACTATACATCAATTTCTGCTTAATTAAGCAGATCCCCATGGCATCCAAAGGGTTTAACACAGCAGGGTGTAATTATAATAAAGCTGATGGTTCTTAAGCAAGTGGGTCTGGGATAACCAGTTTTCTTCAGTAAAAGGTATTGTGCTGTGGAATTTTTAGGTCAGTGGAATTTTTTTAAAGTTCAGACAACAATAGACTCGAATTTTGACTTACATTCTCCAGGTCTTGGTGCGGTTGGACCTGGGGATGTGGTTAGAGCAGTGAGACAGATGTTATATTATTATACGTTATAATTATTATAACATCAATGGGAATTCACTTTTCTGAAAGTAGGGGGTTAATGATAATGGATGTCAACTCATCTGGGTCCAAGACTAAACCAATGCATTCTTGATAATCGTAAACCTATGGCATACCTTTGCTTGGAGATGGTACAGAGGTTTGTGAACCTGAAACAAAAAACATTAATGTTTAATAGTTTTTGTTGCCATGTAGTAAGTAGAAGAATGTGTATGGAAACACTAATTGAGAAAATCAAACTTGCGTCCATGTGTGTAATAACTAACGAACTGATGAGTTACTCCCCAATTTGCTTGCCAATCTCGATGTCTGAATTGCGGAACCTACGGACCAACATACCGTAATATGTTCTAAATACGCGGTAAAACACGCAAAATATTGAAATGCTCGCTTCCCTCACCAAAAATGCGTTGCAATCCTCTAGTAATACCCGCACTGCCCACAAACGATTCAGCACCATGCAACTATTAAGTGACCAGATGCCTAATGTGTGTCCCAGATCAAAGCCTGTGAGCTGCAATAGTTTTAGCCTCATGGAAATATACCCACTGCCCCACTGCTGCATGCAACTCATTGTTAAAGGGAACGTGTCAATACATAAGGGCTAAATTTAACTAAACAATAGGGCTCAGTGCAAGAATGCTAAATTTTCAGTAACAGTTCAGCCCTTATATACTGCCACATTCCCCCTAAGTGACCAGATACCACCGATTGCAATGCCTGCCTGTCCCAGCTCAAACCTTGTGAGCTGAAATAGTTCTAGCCTGTGATACTCTCCATAGTCACATATCAATGTGCTATAATTATATCTTCTTATGTTCGTCTTACCAACGATGACATTGTACGTCATCCTTAGGACCGGGCTAGGGCACATCTGGATCAGTGCCATAAAGTACGGCCCTGGATTGACTGGTGGGTGCAGAGTCACGTTTCCCAATGCAGAAAAGTTGTAGCTGTGTGTAGCAGAATCCTCCAAACACGACGTCTCCATGCAGTGAAAGAGTACATTCTGCTTGGGCTCGTATCGCAGTCGAGCCTGAGTGTACTCTGGGTTGACACCACAGTGACCGGCATTCTCGAACACGACTGCAGTTGGAAGTATGACGTCCTCTCCACTTAAGGCAATTATGTCCTCTGTGGAGTCATCATACGACCGAGCAGTTCCTAATGAGAAGGAGTGAGGAAAATGGAAGAAGGAATAAACGTATACAATTGTTAGTTGTTGGACTACAATAAAATCTTATTTCAAGCCACAGGATTTGGTTTAAGGAGGTAGCAGTGATAAACACCAACTACTGAGTATAGGTCGAAGAACAGCAAGTGAAACTAGCAGTGAAGGTCATGAGCTCTGGTAGCTCAGTCGGTAGAGCGCTCGCCTAGACCTCAGTGTCGTGGGTTCGAATCCCACCCAGGGCAACTCTTCTTTTTTCCATGAAGAGAAAGAGCTCTCCTGGGTGTAGTCACTTATTTGCTTTGCCTTGCCTTTCTACTTCGCTACCTAGTTGTTGACACACCATTCATACACATCCTCTTACCATGGACTATGATACAGCCAGCAATGACGGTGCGTTGGTCATTATTGCCCTCCATGGCTACACAAGCATAGAGTCCTTCGTCCTCTGGCTGTATGTTTGTGATGGTCAGTCGGTCTGTCTCAGCTGAGATCCTGTAAGAGACAGCAAAACAATTCTTGATGACACATTTCGTGAACATTAATAACACTATACTGTGACAGTAACCCTTAGGTCTTGAGCCTGGCTCGCTAGAGCACATGCGATCTGACATCACGAAACAGTTTTGCAACATTGGAAGGCCAAACGCAACAATAATTTTGGTTGCAGTATGCATCAAAGATATATATACCAGTGGTTTACTGCCGCCTCCGGGGCTACCATAATGTAATGACAGCATGCATGAGTTACTAGACATCGTATTTTCTACAGAAAATGTGCTGACCCCCTCCCGCCCCTGAACACTATCATTCCTAGAATTCCAGGGTGATTAGACAATGTGTGACAGTGTTTACCTATATACATACCTTCCTTTCCCCACCTTACAAAACTAAGTTTGGGGACAGAGCTAGTCAGAGGGGGAACAGGACACTGTATATTAATGAAGGAACACAGCTATATACACACCTTGAATGGTTGGCCTGTACATTTGATACCATGGCACTTCCATTGGAAGGGTAGAAATTCCAGCCACCAGAGAAGTCAACTTCGACATCCCGGAGGATCTGACACACAAGAGTCTCTTCACTGCCCATGGGAACATCTACGAGGGAGGGGGTACAACACCTCGTCACAGATGTAAGACACACTTTCTCACGGCAGTCTCTATACTCCGAGACCTGACTGTGCGCAACGCAAGGTATACTTACAGTGGCCTAGAAACACCACTCTGATGCCTGTATACAAAGTGTATATGTAGTTGAGCACTCTTGCATTTCTGTTTACAAAAGTTTACTGAGGGATATATATTTATGCACCGGCATTCATGGACCGCCGTCAACTCATGCCTTAGCTGGGGTGCAGGGATCGAAATACAGTCCCTCGGGTGCTTTATCATGACAGCACTACGATTTTCAGGGAACCAAAAGCCGACTATTATACATGTAAGTATTCGCTGTGGGAGCACATGCAAAATTGTCATTGCCAAAGGTGCGATTGAATTCTTCTCTCTGCCAAATTGCATTAACGTTTTTATGTACATGTGTATGTATAATGTGTGTATGTGTATGTATGTACAATGTACATGTGTATGTATTATGCTTACATATAACTTCACTGCCGCTGTCACTGCAGCTCAGCGTTACGCCGTTACTCTCTAATCCATCTATTTCTGATACACAGTTGGTGTAGCTCGATCTCTTCTCACAGTCGACTTCTGCACAGCATCTCCCAAGAAGAGCTGGCAGGAGAAGAACTGTCCAGAGTAGAAGACGGAGCTGTAATCTCATAGCACTCAGCTGCATGCTTTGGGGGCTGCATTGTGAGAGAGTTACATATGCATAATATAGTGATGTCACTGGAACAAGCAGTTCTTTGCCAGCAAATCATAAAGTGTGACCTCGGTGGATGATGCTACATCTTGTTTGCACTGTCAAGTATCGGTTGTATTATATAAGCATGGGAAATTCATTCAGGGTTTTCTAATACGTTATGTAAATGTACAACACTACACCTTACTAAGAATCACTTTTGATAAGTGCTGAGCTATGTCTACGTATGTATATACACAAAACCACAACACCGAATGCATTGCTGCATGGTGGGGGATTTTTCATGCTGCTGGCATTTGCAGCAAAAACGAAAATTTTCGCAGGAAAAACCACAGTTTAGAGAAACAATTTCTGCCAAATAAGGAAGGGAATGCCGGCCATGTTTTCCATAGAGCCCAGGGACGCATCAGTGTTTTATGTATGTAGCTGTGTTGCCTTGTGCAACACTGGGGATGAATGGAGGAGTTGACAAAACAGTGATGTTTGATCGGAGAGATGCCACCTGCAGTTGTTGGCCAGCATGTCCAGCCACACCACTAGCTAATCTATTTACTGAGCCAGCTCCCTTCTCTACTATGGCTAAAGTGTGTGGATAATAATTTACAGCTGGTGTATAGCTACATTGTAGTAAGACCTTGAATTTGGCACGATTACACCCAGCCGTATGAGAAATTCTCAGCGCAAGTTCAACAGAAAACTATCACATCAGGTTACTGATGTGATAGGCTTCACTGTTCACTCGGAATACGTGATATAACATATGCTCTTGCATTTTGTTAGTTTCGCAACTTCCGACAGTGTAGGTGTTGGCATGTGCATGAATTGTCAGTGTATTCTTGAGTATTATAAGACACATGATGTCATCATGTGGGCATGCAGTTGTCATTATACTATAATAATTATGTGGAGCAATCATGGGATGCAAGTCGATTGAAACTGTGCCAACAACTTCAATCAAAGTATCCACTAAGGACATAATATGTAGACTAGCACATTACATACATTACATACAGCATCTATTCTTACACTGCACGAGGAAGGCTCGATTTTCATGGAATCAAACCCCCATGACAATCAGTGTCCTGTGGGCAGCATACCTAAAGTCTAAACCCTAGCCTTTGTACCGTACAGTGTATTTATAATACACAGTGGTCCATGCATTGCAAAACATGTCCGGACTGTATGTCAATTCCAGGAAGACAATGAATATGCTATTGAGGTGTGCGGCGAGTATGTGCATACACTGTATATTGTAAGTAGGGGTTCAGCCCACTCAACAAGGTAACAAGTCAACTGCACCCCAGGGGGTGGACATGATTATGCAGTTTCTGACCGAATTGCAACATCAACCAATTGTCTTTGTGCATGTTGTGTAGTTATCAATTGACGAGCACACGGAAAGCTTCAACACTGGTGCCGTGCACATTTTGAGGGGAAATGCATGTCACGCACAATTAGCAATAGTGACAAGTTTCCTCGAACAGGTTGTGAAGTCATCATAACAACATCAGTCCCAATGTAAAATTCATACACTATAATATTATACATAAGGTGCTGTAACAAGGTCATAATTATGCAATTATAACAATTCCCCTAAAAGGATGTGAAAGTACAAGTTTGACAGGAAATATCGTATTGAAGAAGTTCCACTGTGCACTAGTATTGAACTACAGGATGACCTCATAGTATGCATACTAATCACAATGCCAGGAATGAGGATATGAACTACTGAGGAATGTGATCATTTCTTCCCGCTCAGGGACACACCCTTTACCCTGTATGGAGTGTGTAATATAGAGATCATTGTGGCGGTGTCTTTATGTGTCATTATTACATGTATTATAGGTATTGGTTGGGGTGGAAAATCTATATTCCTGCTGTCATGAGTCAAGCTAACAGAATAACAAAACGACACCAATACACGCCAAGTCCTTGCCTGGATACTACGAACCAGGGAGGAAGAAAAATAGGGCGGAGTTGTAGCACACGTGAAGTTCCCTCCTGTCATTACTATATATTATGTGTACAACGTTGGTTGCAGCCAGCCACACTCATCTTTGAGCTAGCCAGAGTGCATATCGTATGCACCTGGCACAAAGCCAAAAATGTGCCGTCTCAAGCAGAGTGCTGATTGTCATGCAATTGTACATGTACATTATACACATGCAGTGTATGCATAATATATACTCAACCAGTAAAGTATGGCATGACACACTATACACTATTGTAGTGGTGCTCTTTCCTTGTGATGTGTACACAGGAAGTTCCGGACTTCTACTGAATTGTGTTGGTCTGTCTAAAGGTGTTTATGGGGTGCCTGTCTCTCTGTGTCCCTCCCCTCAAAGTAGTCAACGGGTGTTAGTCTGTCAGTCTGTCTGTCAGTCAGTCTGTCTATCTGTCCGTCAGTTGTCTGTCTGTCTGTCCGTCAGTTGTCTGTGTACCTAAGTTGTACTGCTCCACTGAAACCGGAGGCTAAGCTAGAAGTGAAGCAAAAACTAGAAGTCAATTAGTCAACACAACTCACCCCAGAATTCCCCCCACTTAAGACTGTGTGATGATAAACATCCATTATTTTCAGAAGTGAAAGATTTTCCAAAAGCCACAGCAAAAGCACACCAGATTAGCACCCTACTTTCAATCCAGCTCTTGGCACCTCAAAGCTCCACACATAGCTAGGATAATTACGTGTGTATCACTAGTAGATTTTAAGAGCCTTGCCTGCCGAGCTTCCCATGTATGATGCGTACATGTAGGAAGAAAGTGCCTTGCTTTAGGTTCACTTACGTAGCTACGTAAGACCAGACACAAAATTCAGTGCATAATTTTGTTGTATGACGGGAATTGCTTGCCTCAAACACTACAAAAGGACATGTGCACTAATCACACTAACAGACAGCTGCACTCCTACATTATGGCAAAAAGATTACGCTGTTATGAACGGAGCTTTGTGGTGACTCAGCCTGATTCTATACTATCACTCCACAGTCTTTGAAGCCAAATTTCCATTCACATGTAGCCACTATGAGCCTAGTCCTGCCCATTATACTGAGCAGTCCTGACGGCTCAGTGGAGAGATGTATGCAACTATATAAGCACCAAGGAAGCCTGATGCGTCGAGTTTAAACAATAAAGCTTTTAATCTAGAGTGCAGGGTTTATTTCGTATGCCCTGCATTCACCCTAGAACCTCATTATACATAAGGGTGCATAGAGTTCATGTGTAATCATATCAACAATCTCCACGCAAAGCGTGCAGTACGTAAGGTATATACAATTGCACTTGCATATGCCACATAAGCTCAGAACAGAATAAATATCTGCCGGAGAGATATCTCGTGTGTTGGTGAAGTAATAGACATAAGCTGCGTAACATCTGACAATATCAAACTAACAGAGATACACTATAGAGCACAGTGGCACTTGTGGACTCTCACAGTCAAGGTATAGTAGTATATAGTAGGTGGAAATCCTTCAGGTGTGCATCATGTGTGAAGTGGACACTGGCAGTGGCTGTTGTGGTGTCTATGACCTGGGTCATTTCCTGCACTGCCCAATATGCACATATACAGACGCATGCACTACAACCTTCTTCCTTCCTCCACATATCCAGACTTACTATAAGACTATACATTCTGGACCTTCAGTACCCTGTGTTAGGTATCTACGAAGTTAACTAATGACTCCATAGAGATATCATATATACTATGGTCCTGCTGATAGCAGTCTCCAGCAAAAGATAAAGAATTCGGTTTAGCATTTGATGGAGCTGTACAGGTATCTCTGGGGGACATGGTCAGCCAACAGAAGCACTAGCAACGCCAGCACAGACTCACAAAATACATATCTTACCACCTATGCTTTTACCAGATCTGTTCTGGATTCAGTGAATTTGGGTGCATTGGCACAAGTAAAAGTATGCCCAACTATGGAAGGAATGCCAAACCCACTCATCCTCAGGGACCCAAGGGTATTTAGTTATGGCTGCCTATCCAACCGCAGCCTCTCGAAGAAACGTGTTATCAAGCGCACGGCGATGCCACCGGACAATCAACCTTGACGACAAAATGCTATAGCGAGTCGAGCGCTTGCGGCAGTGGTCGTCATTTATCCTGCCTATCTGGCACAGTTTCACCGCGGCACTAAACAGGACACTTGGGAAAAGATCTAAAGATCTGAGCAAGAAAACCAAGCGATCCCAAGCGATCGCAGATCTGGGTCACTAGCTAGTCGGAACTCGCGACTGATCCCCGGTCACAGCACTTCAATCACAGTTCACACCGAAACATAAACTCACCTTTTCTCAGTAGCGGGAGTACAATAGACTGGTAAGACTGTAGCTAATACTGGTTCCTCAGCAGACGAGTTCACACCTGAACAAACGCGACTTGCCAAATAAACCGCTGAAGCACTTGACGCCACACCCCTCCGTATGAGCCAGCGCCCAACCCCCAAGTATAATAATTACGCATGCGCAATATCTTTCACTTAAGAAACTGACGTTCAGCATTTGAAGATAGCCTGACTGCAACAAAAATGCATGTCAGAGATGTTGTCGGGTGAATGCACAATATTTCTGGCCTTCAGTGCAATTAGCTAGTATGGAGATTTGAGTGGATAACGATAAAGTTTACTGCATGCTACCTGGGAGTGAAGGAGAATAGATCTAAAAGCCTGTTCCCTGGCTCGCTAGATAGTAGATAGGGACAGTGGGAATCTCGTTAATCCATTCATGCGCGTCACTAAGTAGATGATGTGACATAGCAAAGAACAGAATTACCAGATAAGTGCACTGGTAATGAATGAGTTTTTTGTTCTCTTTTACTCTATAGAATGTGCCAGAATTGGCAAAACCATGCATCTCGGCAGAATTGCAACAGAATTGCATCTCAAGGTATTTAAGTGAGCGTCCTTGGCAATTGTAGCTACTCCCCTTTTAAATGTGCAAAAATTAGTTTGCCTGACATTGACACGTAGATATATTGTTTGCGCTAACTCCTTACAATGCGTACTGAGTGCTTTTCATAAATCAGCTATATACAGTAAATTATTTTACATAGTTTTCAACCTTTTGCATTTTATAGATCTGTTCAGAGTGAAAGAGGAGGTTGCCGCCACTGGTAGCGATAATACACAGGCAGTGGGAAAGGATCGGCGAGAGATTTATCTGCTCTTACAATCATTGAATGAGCTAACACACAAAGTCCTATCAGCTTTGTCACAAATATTGCCCTCCATAATACATTTCCAGAATGAAAAGATGGCCATTTGTATGAATTTTCCAACATGGGATGGTAAAATAGCCCATAGTAGAACTGGCACTGAGACACAGTCCAAACCCTCAACAGCACAAAGGGGCCTGAGAGAAGCAGTCTCAGGTCTCAGATAATTCTTTCCTCTCCTCTCCTCCTCAAGAACAATAGAGGGCGGGAGCTACCTAACTCTACAAGTAAAAGGTGCGATGTGATTGCCAACTGGCAACTATAGTTATTATTGCTCTAATAGCCCATGCAGAGATTGGAAGGCAATCCAACTTTTTTAAATTCTGAAATGTGTGCAATCCCCATTTTACTCCTAAAGTGTCCATGGTCTCCAAACCGTAGATTATTCTGAGCATGCGTATTAGCGACCGTCAAATCTGGGAACTGAGCCTTGTGCGCTCCATTGTATATACGACGTGAACAATCTGCAGCCATGGTGCGCGCAAAAACACATTAAACTAGTTCCACGATGCATCTTCTATTTGCAACATTATGTCTCGTTTCAGCGGCCAGCGCTAAGGAGGACTCGTCCTCCAAGCCCGTGTACTTTTCCTTCATCTACTCCGGAGGAGGCCCCGGCGGTTTCAACTCGTCCGGAGTCATACCCGCCGTGGACATTGCTCTGGAGGAGATACAGCGAAACAATCTCTTGCCCGGCTACAACCTGACCTACGATGAACCCGTCGACTCAAAGGTGACACCGTCTGCAACAAACTCCCATGTATCTAGTTAGCAAACTAGCAACTAGCTAGTTATAGTCTCTAAAAGCGCTATTATGGCTAACATAATGCATGGGATTTGTTGTTATGTCAGTGTTCAGACGTGTTCTTCGAGGATACAGACAGCAATCCAGTACCAAAGATAGCTGTGATTGGGGCTGGCTGTTCCGCTGCAACTGAGCCAGTAGCTGAGATCAGCCATCACTGGAACATTTCTCAGGTATCCTCAGTTATCGTGTATAGAGCACTATGTATACTGTATAAATCTACAAAAGTTGATATATAATAATTTAGTGGCGACACGTCACATTAACAGTTTTAAAAAGAATTGTGGAAAATTAATGTCACAAAATAATTCTGCTGGGGGAGGCAAAAGGGCAGCAATAATATCAGCAATCATGCTAACCTTATATGCTGAAGTCATATCTCCTCCTACTTGTTGTTTGGGTGTCCACGTACATACCCACTTCTGTAATAGTTGACCATTCAAGTAGTGCACTAGCTGCACAAGTGGCTTGGATCACTCGGTATCAGAAATCCAATACCGCACAAGGTTCGAATTTACACTGCCACACGTGGCTTGGGTACGTGCTTATTTGTAACCATGATCCGGGCAAAGTGTACGAGTGCCCTGTGGGGACCACCATGATCACTGGACCGAGGTCAGAGCTTATTTTACAGACCAAGTGGGCCGTGGAGCACTGTGTATTGCTGTTAGTGGATCAGAAACAGAAGTGTACCTGATCAATATCATGTATTGTATATGCAGACCATAAGGAGGGAGGGGTACAGGTGCACTGGGTTTTTTTTGCACGCACCTGCCATGGCTTTGCACACCAGATGGTCTGGTGTGCAAAGGCATGGCAGGTCTGACCATTAGTGCCCCTCTTTAAAAAGTTGCTTGCTGCCTAGTCCTGCTGAGTAGATAGAGCCAACTGGCAAGGTCTGCTGTGTACAGCAAGCTGCCTGAGATGGAACCTCATAACTTGATCTCCTCTAACACAGCCCTAAGAGCTGTATATAGTCACAATCATTGTGTACAAAATGACTCCCTAACTCCTGGGAACAAAACACGTTTATAAATATTTATTAGCATAACTTGAGAACCTAACATTATAGTAGTGCTTGTCATACCCCATAATTAATGGTGGTAAATGACCAAGACTAATGTTCCCTTAATTTATGTGTTGTTCCTGTTTTTCAGCAAGTAATACTCTAGTGGCATTGCCGGACGCCACCCAGTAATTTTGTTGGCTCTATGGGTATGTCACATAAATGGGCACGGGCTTTTTGTACCTTTAAATACTCATTGAGAGCAGTTACAGTCCCTATTATACTACAATAATTACGTGGCTACAGTTTTATTTATTTACAAGAGTGAGACTCCAATAGCACACATACCACCAACTGTGTCGTGGGTTACAATACTTGGTAATGGTTCGTGAAATGTTGGACTATCAGAGCAGTGGCCATGTTACTGGATGTGTTAATAAGCATAGCAATAGACGGTGGCTTCTCAGCAAGGACAAAATCCATGTACTGCTTTGAGCATTCCATGTTTATCAGATGCATGGGAGTGTCACTATGGCAAACATACAACACAAAATGTCCTAACTGATCCCTAGATACCACGAGTTATGCACATCCAGTCTTCAGATGATTAAACACGAGATTCTTACAATAATGTGTGCGCTCATGAACGGTGAATATTGACTGCTAGCCTGCATGATGCTTCGGAGGGCGAATGACCCGGATATCTGGATCCATGCTCTCTGAGTGCGTGTGGCTCAATTGATATGCTATATACATGCGGCTTGTGACTCTTTTTTCTTGTCTCTTGCCTTTTATAGATATCATATGCATCAACCACTGCGTCGACTCTCAGCGACCGACAGAGGTGTCAGAAACTTCTCAGGACACTCCCACCTTCAACAACTATGCCTCGCCCTGCTGGCTCTCAGTGACAGATTCAACTGGAGAGACTCGCATTCATCACTCAGAAACGAAGACGTCTTTCAAAGACGTACATAATAATTAATCACGCACGCGACACAAAATTAAACTGCGAGAATTGAAACAGTAACTGAATCACTATTATGCACCCTGGCAACAGAGTTTTGTTGAGCCAATCTCACAGAGAACTGACTTTTCTTTTTATAACTGTAGCTCTGTCAGAGACCGGTTCACCCTCCTTGCGTGACATTTGATGTGTGATAGCGCACAATTATCAAGCTTCTATGAACTAAGTGTAACAGTATGCATACCAAGACATTCGATCTCCCTACAGCACAGGTGTACACAGACTATGCACAGCTTCATTGGAGACCTGAGAGATGGGATCCAGTAAAGAGTGCTGTTTCGCTGACGCACGGACACCGACTACAGTCAACGTGGTGTTTGAAAGCAGAGGAGACACTCTATCAGATGTCATGGACCTCTTAGTAAGACTCCACGCTCAGTGGTGTATATACTCGTCTGATCTGGCATCTATTGCCTCACGTAAACAGCTTTGTTTACACAGCACGAGCGTTTGGTGTGTGTGCATTGCGTCTGGCACCTCAATGGGGTGATTTTTTGTGTTTTTCCTTTGGAAAAATTCGCAGGACGGGAAGGAGTATCATGTGTTCTTTGTCAACTGCTTCTTTTCGTCACGCCAGACGGATCATGCTGTGAGGTACTGATACACTACCCTGATAGGCACTAGTTTTTGCTCACAATAAGCATTGCGATAGGCGAGACAACAAGAGGGACAGAGGAAATGCCTACTTCCGAAGTAGGAAAATATTTAAGTAAACAATGAACTGGTTAAGTGTGTACCATGGATATGCACATGAGACAACTAAGACGTGTTTGAGCTGTTATTCACGGCAATGATTACATCAGGCAGCTAAACGGAAACTTGTCTACCCAAACTATGCTGGATATTCTATGTCACTATACCCTGACAGTGGTGGACAGATAACACCATACAGTCGACTGTACAATGAAGAAGCTGGAAACATTTCTGTTCAACTCGCGAGGTCTCCTGGCGCCAACATTGTGCCGAGCCAGAGAATTTTGATTCCTCCACTTCAGCTGGAATAGTGAGTCACATGACTCTGCTGTCTCGCAGCTGTTCTAGTGCATTTCATCATATAGTTGTTAATAGGTGATATGCTGTCTATTTTTCTAAGCATACACAAAACAATGGTGGTATAGTGCACACTCAACACACCTCAGTTAGTTGTTTAGTGTTCATGTTTGTACCTATGGGCAGATCTGTCCACCAATGTCTATTACAGCACATGCAAATTGCTGGTACGTTTAGATAATCACTCGTTGCATATGTGTGTAACTTTTAGCAAGGTGCTTCCATACGTACATTTCCTCCCAGATCTGCCAGTGATTTCGTGGGGACTGTACGGTAGAGAGGGCACAAGCGCTAACAGGCTACTCACCCACAACATTTGCTAACTATCACTGGGGCCTTTGAACGGCGGTGTGGTCCTAGAGTAAGCTCTCAACATAACAGAGGTAATGAGACTCGCAATGAGACACTGACAACTGCATGAGAGTTGGCGGGGACTGGTACCACTGAATGAGTTTTTGACTATACCACAATACTCTCATGGGCTGCGTTGTCAGGAACCACCTTCATCCCTCAGCTTAGCGGGGTACACTGTGAGTTGTAGTTAGCACATTTGTGTGGTGGCATGTGTCTTAGATTTATTATTGATCTCTACATATGTTGCATGTCAGTAAAGAATGGTGTAAATGAGGGGACGTTTTGATGGAAGAGAACAATACAAGCTACCCATTGATCTGCAGCGAGTACACGTTTCAGGGTCCAGTGACCCCTGTACGGCGCCGCAGGAGAACGCACAATAGTCTATACACAAGGATCCGACTATACACACAGCTCGATACGTAAGAGGGACTATATTATAGTGCATCTCCTTGTTAACAGCACTAGCCTAAGATAAGCAAGCAAGAAGAAAGAACCATATTTTGCCACCACACCCAAACCTGCCAATAAACACAGAACAAAACACAGATTCATATGTAAACATTTCTACCTTCAAAGTACAAACCTTCAGCAATTTTGTGTGTATGTATGTACCTCATGTGTACCTGTTGCGCACTCTCTCAGAGGGACTCCAGAGAGTGAGGTTTGGATATCTGGGCAAAAACTCTACTTTCTCACTCAGGTTTGCTGACGGACAGAACGAGGCCATACTCTAACCCAGGTAGCTATCCCGTATTATCATTGATGCATCAACTTTTTTCTACACAGAGTAAAATTTGTGTATGTAGTACGAACTGCATGGTCAAAGAATATTTTCTGTTTTATCTAGAAGTTGGCAAAATAGCTATAATAGTTGTGGTATCCTATATAGTTTCAGTCGCATATTTGACGTGACTGATAGTAAAGCACAGAGGTGACTGTAATACTTGTAAAGCTTCTGTTTACTAACTGCCACTTAAAAACATTACCTATGTCAATGCTGTAAACAATGTCGCTAGCACAAACAACAACTGTTCATGGCAGAGCGCTAGCCTTGAAAGCAGAGTGTCGTGGGTTCCAATCCCACCAGGGCAGCTCTTCTATTTTCTCGAAAACAAGAGCTGTCCTGGGTGTAGTTGACTTGTTTTGCTTTTCTTTGCCTTTGTACCTCGTTGCCTTGTTATTGACACACATACACAGATGTGCTCCACCTGATGGGACCCCACTGGTGATAATCCACACCTACCACACTGGCTAGTCGGGCTGTTTTGACTACTGGCTTTCTCTGAGTCATGTTTGCCATCGTTTTGCTCTTTTTTCAACTTCGCCTCAGAAACAGAGGTAAAGGACAACAGAAACATTCACAATTACTGACCAATATATTTTTCAACTTCATGGCTTGGAAAATACCTATCATGCCAAGAAACAAGAATATTATCAGTTATATAATGTTTACTCAATTGAAACAGGATAAGGGGTATGGAATGCCTAGGTTGTAGCAAAAGGATGTTTTTCTCTTGATATTAGTCAGAGATTGCTGCATGTTTGACATACACACTGACTGGACTACCATTAAACTTTCTGCTCTTTTGTGTGTCTAGTTTTGTGTTTACAGTGTAAAGTGTGCCATACGCATGTAACAATAGACCATGTGAATGCCAAAGAAAAAAAGATACGGAGCTCTGCATGTACACTATATATTTCTCAAACGACTTTGCAGGGTTATTCGACTAACATCACCTACATCAATCACATAATAATTGGAGGGGCACTGCTGATGTACGTTTCAGTCATCATTGAGTTTATTATACCATCCACCAAAGAAGCAATTAATGAAAGCACAGTGCATAGTAAAGTACACTACCGTAACTTTCGTATGTAAAGATTTCTTGACAACTCTGTGTATAAAATTTATCACCATGAAAATTGTACTTCGGAAGTGCACGCAGTACGTTAGGTAGTTGGTTGTACAGAGAGGTATAACATAATTATACAAATAGCTACGTATGTACCCACGATACAACTGATAGCACACTCAGTCCAGTCTCTTCACTTTATTGCTGGATGCAACCAGAAACAAACTTGCCTTCAATTATACGTTGCGAAAAACTTTTTCATGTGTCTAATTTTCACAGAATTTCAGTTGTGTTCTAGACAAGAATACATTATACAATTGTTTCGAATCGTATCATTGTTTTGCAGTTGCATATTTGGGTGTACATCATGGGTATCTCCTGGTGTATGGAATAATTCTAGCCAAGAGTGGAGGTTTACCAAATATTTCAGAACCCACACCAAGAAGAAAAACGTATGTACTTTCAATTAGCAGTTCTCATGTCATCTCCTTGTGATTTGTTACATAAAGATGAGGCGCTAAACTTCAAAACCTCTGTACAAAAAGATAGAAGAGATAATTATAACGCAGTGGTAAACATATCCCAATCAAGTATTGGGTGTGGTCTGATGGATAAGGACCCACAACTGGTCTGGGCCACTTTTTTTATATGAGTGTTGATACAAGAGGAACGTTTTTTCATCACCCGTTGTGGCCAGCCCAAGTGGCTCAGTGGTTAGAAACGTGGGGACTGACAGCATAGTGCCTGGTTCGAGTCCGGACCAGCAGTGAAACTGTCAAGTAGGTCCGGCATAGTAATGCGTCCGTATATAGACGTCTGCCTGGAGAGTTGGAGGCCCATAATTTTTTTTTTTCGACCTTAGAATTTATTTTTGGGCCTAAAACAATTCATGGATACTTTTAAATGGTGTAAAACATTCAGTTATATTTTTTACTGCATGGCCAGTAATGGTTTTTAAGCTTCTCAACAACATTTTCTAGATAGATGGAGGGTGTGCCATTTTTTAACCCTAGAATATTAATGTAATATGTGGGTAAGATGAAATCTTATTGCCAGTATTTTTTGCATGTGTATATAAGAAGCCTTTTAACATGAAGATCGCCCATAACCATTTTTGGTGTATACACAATTATTATTGTGTATTAATCCTCACTATATGCAACTATATATATATGCCACACTGTTTACTCCTGAAAGGTTTTGACGACATGCAACTTGCTGTGGGCAGTAGGAGGGATAACTGGCATTGGAGTCCTGCTCATCACTGCCGATACCATTGCTCAGCTCCTTACGTCTCCTGAGCTGGTATCTGATGCCGAGGACCCATCTGGAACCACAGTAATACATAATAATATGATAGTGTCATGTGTAAACTATGTGTAGTCACATGAGGGGGTGTGGATACGCCAGACTAGGAGGTTGAAAGGCAAATGATACAGAGCTGGCAGGGTACCTGGGACAGAAAGCTGTAACTTTTTAGTGTCTGTGGAATGGTCACTCATTATCACTACCATTGACCAGTCCTATTCATCTATTGACTAAGAATGCCACTAGGATGGGAAATATAATATTATAGTCATACTATAAATAGAATGATCCAATGGAAAAACATGTTAAGTCTATGTTAAGCCGTTCCAGAATATTGACTTATCTGGTTTCCCACTGGGTCATTCAAATTTAATTTAATTATGTCTCTTCACGTGTAATTTCTGCACAATAGGACTCTGACATTCCGAGAGACACACATGATATGCTGCTTACAAGAGTGCGTCACCGCCATGTTATTCAGCTACTGATCTATGCCTACCTCATTCTACTGCAATGGTGGGTATCGTCCTGCCTTCCAGACTCGGAAAGTGAGAATCAATGTCTCAACGATGCCAAATCTATTGCGATGCTCATCTACATCTCGAGTATCGTCGCTGGTGGTGATTGGACTGGTAAGTTTTTCGGCGAGGAGCTACATCAACATCAGTGCCGCCATATTTCTCGAGTGGGATCCTCATCTTGCACATTCTTCCTTGCTCTCATCTTATCCCAAAGTAGTTAATTTAATCGGCATCGCTTACTTCATACTGTTAGAGCTGCCGTTGCAAAAATGTTGTCGAGCTACTTAGCTCAGTGGAAGACACTGGCTGTGTAGAGAGCAGAGTATATACCTGGGTTCGAGTTCTGCCCAATTTACATTGTGTCCACCTTGTAGCATTATCGTATATAATATTATGAATTACCTGGTGTAAGTATGTGCTTTTGAACTGTGTCACAATCATTCTCACATGCAGATGGTAAACCTCTACCAGGATCCAACAGGGGATAAGGTGTTCAGCGCTTCTATGACGGCACAGTCTCGAAACAGCGAAGACCAGCAGCGACACGAACTAGCCGCAAAGCTCCCAAACCTCACAGACCCAGAAAAGATTGAAATCCTCAATGCACGCGTCCAGAGCCTCGAGGAGAAAATGATCTTGAAGAATAGGAGGATACGAGAACTAGAATCTTCGAATTCATGACCGATTGTGACACTTCATTGACTATGATATCTATAATTATAATTTTTCCCGCGTGTTCTTGATTGCGCATGCGTCGCAAACAAATTGCATAAAAGTCGCAGAACAAACCGCACTTCAGCATCTCGGTCGTTCATTATGAAGTGTTTCCCAGTGGTGTCTGCTGCTCTCATTCTCGCATGGGCCGTTGCGAGTCTGGTCTCCGGACAAGACGACCTCAAAACGGTCTACTTCTCGCTCATCGTCTCCAATGGAGAGTACGGTTTCCGGTCGTCTGGCGCCGTCCCTTCCATCGATTTAGCTCTGGAGGCAGTTCGGAGCATGCAGGTTCTCCCTGGTTACAATCTCACGTACGAAACTGTCAGGAACTCTAAGGTAAGCTATAGATGTAGCTAGATGCATGCTTGTAATTTGATGGTATGCTCTTCTTGAAGTTATAGTAGCTAGTAGAGGTGGTCTGACTTGTGTTATCGCATAGCTATCATCAAAGCGTTTTGGATCAGCCATGCATGCAGAGAAAGGGTGCAGCATGCATGTGTTTTGGATATTAGTGTAGCTGATTTTTATCGCGATCCCGGTTTTTACAGTGCACGCGGACGGACTCCCTGGATGCTTTCTTTGTGGACACGCAGAGCGGAGCCTCACCGAAGATCGCCGTCGTGGGCTGCGGATGCTCCCCGGCGACTGAGCCGGTAGCAGAGATCAGTCATCACTGGAACATCACGCAGGTCAGCAATATAGCTTTAGTAGCTGTGAGCAGAGGTTTGACCGCTAGCTCTACAATAGCGAAGAATCTAGAGCAAAGTGCTTCGGTTCTGCCCCATAGCATAGAGTATTGACAATCACATAGTCGTAGGCAATAATTACGACCGTTCACTTTGGCTAAAGGTATTGCCAATCACATAATTTAGCAATAATAATGGCCTGTGTAAACAGGGCTAGGTAGTAAACACTCTAAAGCATGGAAAGTGATATTTTGAACCCTAATCCCCTACGCAACAGAGGTACATGCAGTGTAAATGGTTGTCATTTTAGAAGGTCGAGTTTCTGTCACTCCTCCAACTGGTATATAATATAGCAGCTACAGTATTATACGTGCCTAAGGGCATATCTTTTGCCTACACATGGATGCTCGATCTTGGCTGCAATAAACGGCTTGCTGAGGGATTGAGGGTGTAGTCTATACATAATATCACTACAAGCAATGATAATTTGATTAAGGCAGAAATGTTAAATGTTTTGTGGCATCATGTTCTGTTTATGGCGCAAGGTTAACAACTTCTACATTGTGTGATTGTGTTGCCAGATGTTGCAAATTTTCCACTTTCTTTGGTGGTCAGTTTCGCCTCTGTTAACACATGCGTAATGCAAAGCAACACTTCAAAAATAATGTATCCTTCATGCATCCGCACCCTTGCATCTAATTGTAGTTCCTTTATTGTGTGTATCCTGTTTGGTATCACATGACCGAAACAAATGCGATGCATATCTAGTGAGCAAAAGCGTGAAGAGGCTGTGTGTGGTTGTTTTCAATTTTACAACGTTCATCACTTTGATGATCATATCGCACGATTTCATCCACAAGGTACGCCTGCTTCACTTATTACTGATTGTGACTATGAGTAATGAACTGGTGTATGGTTAGGGAGGTTCGAAGTTTGAATCCCTTTACCAGATCAGTTCTCTCCCCTTATTACTGCACATTCGGTGGCAGGCAATTATCTGCCTGGCATAACGCACTGTTTCTTATGAAATTGGTGAGAGAAAGTCTCTAAATTCTAAATGAATCTCTCTAGATATCATTTGCCGCTGGGTTGTCAGTCGCTCAGCGACAGGTCGAGGTTCAGGTACTATTTCCGTACCACTCCCACGACGTCAAACTATGCCCCGGCCATCCTCGGAGTCCTCAACAGGTTCAACTGGAAACGACTGGCCGTCTTCACTCTGAACCAGAACGTCTTTCAAATGGTATAATACCTATGTACGTCATTGGTGTAATATGCGTGCTTTGTGTACTTATAATATTTTTGTGGAGTTTAAGTAGCAGGTCTTGTATATACGCTTGGAGTGTCACAGATTTGCTTATAGTTTATAGTGCAAATGATCATACAAACATACAAGCTCTGGTGACGTCTTGTTTTACTAGCTTCATATGAACTGTAACTGAGGCAACACAGAGGCATCCACGACTTGCTTAAAAATTTCAGGGAACCAGATTATTTTTTAGCTGGTTGTATAATTATACCAACTGAATGTGCAATCCAGCTAAACCATGGTTTACATAGTGCTCCCTTTCTGAGGTTGTACACCTGCACTCTGCAAGTGGGCATGCCTGGAGTTTGAGGCTAAGTAAACAGACATTGCCACTCCCTGATTGTTGGACCTGTGGAGCATGACCTGTCCCATGCCACCAGGTGTCCCAATTGTAAGGAAGCACCATATACTTTATGGTGGCTACTCTAAGTTATGCTGTGGGAGAGCACACAAACACTGGCTTACTTTGTTATGGTGCCAGTTTGTCTGTGTCATTAGGTTTGTTACAGATCATTAGATCACATATAGTTAGTCCCTTCCCACACCCTCTCCCCTCCTCCGTCCCTCCTCCTCCATGTTTTATGCTTTACTATCTTCCCTCTCTTCCTATGGCTCTTCCTTCCTTTCCCTATTGTTCTTTTCTCCTATCTTAACTCAATATCTCCCTCTCTACATCCCCCCCCCTCTCTTCAAGATTGTGAGTGATGTAAGAGAGCTCTACCAGAGTGCGAGGGAAGGCAATAGTGACTTTTGCTGTTTTGACGACAATGACATCATCATCCAGTCTTCCGTCTTTGACGAAGTCGACGGAGATCCAGTGGCTGCAGCGCGAGCAGTCTTTGTAAGAAAATGATATAGCAATGTATTTTTGTTGAACTGTACACCCAAAAACCATCATTTACTTGTACAAGTTGCATCGTTACGTGCCCCCGATATAGTACAAGCCGTATTTTTCTGCTACATTAACACAACCACCTGTGATCACCTAAACATTGTGCACTATTGTTCTGCACTTAGTTTACGGCATGGATTATTTACATACACTGTTTACTCAGGTTTTTGAACACCTGTGGCCACATTTTTTGTATCATCTGCCCACACAGTAGTATGAGGACTTTTGTTTCCTGCAAGAAATTTGAACATGTGCTTGTCTCTCTTGCGTATAGGACAAAGGAACATTCCACGTGTTTCTAGTCAACAGCTACTCCAAATTTGCAAGACCTATTATTTGTGAGGTACGTATGTGTGCATTATTGTAAACGTGGAGGGAATGGTAGCATTTCCCATAAATAAACTGAGGCACCAGCAAAATTTTTTGGGTTGCAAAGTCCAGGTATATTTTTGCTCATTTTTTTCTTTTTGGTAAATCATTTTCTGTCATAACCACAATAAATAAAACTTACAATTCGATACAGTTCTGAACAATTTCTTTTCCTGCAGGCAGCTAAGAGGAACCTTGTGTACCCACACTACGGCTGGATCATGTACACCTGGTACCCCGAGAGGTGGTGGACTGAGGAGGTGGCGGGAGAACACATCGACGAGTGTAGTGACGAGGAAATGGAGGAGTTTCTCGTGCGGGCGGGAGCCACCCTCCCTATTAACTCGTCCCGGAGCCCGACGACTACAACCTGCAGACAGTTGCCGGATTTGTGAGCGTTTAAGCCGCACTCTCTGGCCTTCATTTATGATGTGGTTTGCTTAGCCTTTTCCTTGAGACTTAGATACGTACATGCTTTAGTTGATGTGGGGACATATTTTGTTCTACTAGGCAAGATTGACGCTTGTTGTGGCAGAAAATTAAGGGATGCATAAGTGCACATTAAACGGCTCGACTATGAGGAAATCTCTTGAGATAATACTGTGTTGCGCTCATATCAGAGACCATTAATCCTCTGCTTCCCAAGTAGAGTGTGATACTACTTCTACTGAGCTATATACATACTAGCTGGTGCAGGGATCAAGTGTACAAAAAGGCAAAGGAATTCTGAGCGTAGTTGCATGGAAAGCCGTCATCTGAAACCGTCAGTAGCCTCCAGTGACACCCAACTCCAACGCATAACACGTAACCTTATGCCGTGCTTTTTCTAGACGGGATTAATTTAGGTCGACCTGGTGTTATTGTTAATGTAAGCAGACACCATACCACAGCACCCAATTAGTTTTAATGCATGGAAGTTTATCTACCACATTATAGTACTGCTATAATTGCTATCACCTTGCAATGTACGTATTAATAATTAGCAACCAGAGGCCCCCACCAGTCATGTAAGTGCAATTTCCTTTTCGACGACAACAATACAGTGAGGTAGAGCTGTTTTAATATCTTTGTCTGTTGAGTGGTCGTAATTGCTGCTTTCAGCTTTGACAATTGAGTTTGAGCTTGGAATAAAGACAAATAAACATGTAGATCATGAATGCATACACGTTCAAGTTTTTGAGTTTGTGGTAGTTCATATGTAGCACCTGGCATGGTAAGCTCTATAATTTTTTTTATGTACCTACGTAGCTGGCCTTGTATATTATCAATGGTCTCATGGGTGCAAATAAACATGTAGCATAATTATATACACGTTCATTGGGTGCAAGTTTGAGGTTGTGGTAGTGCATCCGGCATGGTCTATAATGATTGTGTACCTAGCTGGCATTGTACCCACAGTTACAGTATTGATGCCTTCTGATAATGACTTCTTTCCCTTCTACTTAAACTTGCAGTCATCCCGAGAGTTTATTGGCAATTACACCACGCGATTATGGCCAGAGTCCAACTACAATCACAGCTCAATCTTCCTGATGGCCTTCGATGCGCTGTGGTCCATGGCCCAGATGCTCAACTACACCGAAGAGATGAGACTAAGAGACCTGCCCAGGAACCACTCTGATTTCGACGAGTGTCGTCATTTGGATGGCAGTCTCGTCCCCCTGGACGAGTTCAACTACACCAATGCCTTCATGGGGTGCATGATGAGAGACAACTATTACAAGAGATCGACTTACCGAGTCTACTCGGTGAGTATTCTGTTAGTTCACCACTCCGTTGAGTACTGGACATTTTAAGTACGTATAGTAGCACACACGACAATTTTAAAGGAAGAACACTTTGTATATATAATTGTAAATAATATTGCAACACGTGACAGGAGTAAGTGCCCGTTGCCTCTATTTTCAGATCCAAGTCCAAATGCACATTCCCACCCACCCCAACATGCGTGCGTACGCTCAGGGCCTGCAGTAAAAGAATGCAGACAATATACGTAACATCGTAACAATAAACCTCTCCTGTGCTAGTAATCTGTCTTCAGTGAGACACGTGTCAGTGTGCATCTGACCCAACCGCACGTAATATGATTGGATTGCATGTGGTTTTGTAATCAGACGTAATCCGTCACCTCTCACCTCTCACCCGCCCGTACAATGTATGGGCACATTGCATGTATAGTCACCCTAGATTACTCGACTCATTATGAGAGATTACTGCATTGAGAATTACTAGATAGAGTACTGAAGATATACTGCCATGGTATAATAATCCGAGTTATGGGTATGAATACTGAGCATGCAATGCGAAGGAGCTTTGACAGAAATTACTGAGAAGACTGATAGATACTGGTGTTGTGTTGTTTCTCTTTACCTGTCCAAATGCAGGGTCCTAGTGAGATATAGTGAGGATGCACCATCATGCTATACACGGATCAGACTGGCACAGTGGAGAAGAGTAAACGGTTAGTTAGTAGAATGTCAATGGAGAAATATCCGTTTTCATTGGCTACACTACGTATGTACGTATATGTACCACCATGCTGCTTAACTCTCCTTTTCTCTTTATTAATTCCTGTAGTTGCGCTTGACACGGTACGATTTGGTTACCTGGACGAGACTCTAATTTCTCTCTCGTGTATGACCCTGGAGAGAGGGCGAAGACACTCTACTCAGGTAAGGCACACTGTGGGGACTGCACGTGGGCACATCAGGTAGAATAAGTTGTATGTACCTATATTATGCACACACAACTGCTGCTGTACTGTAACATGATCTATACGTGCATCATAACATTGTACGTCCCCTACTGCTAGGAAAACGAATGCCAGAACTAGTTAACGTATAGCTCCAACAACCGAGGAGGATATCCTGTGTGCGCAGAGCCTAACGTTAATTGCCTCTGTAGTCCACGTATATAGACAATCACATGCTGAATTTCTGCTGCGTCTATCGCCTTGGTGCTGATACCTTACGGTTACTATTAATTGTGAATTTAGCGAGAATCAGCAAAACCACTAAATTATATGCACGCTAATAATTGTGCCGCATGAAAGTTCGCTTGAATAGACAAAAAATAATGTGTAGACAATCGTAAAATTAATTTTAGTATACGCGCCAAAACACTCAGTGCAAAAACGCAAAAATTAATACCCGCAATTAATTAGTAACCTTAAGTATACTGAATGTACTAATGTACTAATGATTGTTGTGTAAACTTTGGAAGCCAGACTAGCTCTAGATGTTGTGAAAGGACTTCCTGTCCAATACTGATATTGGTCAGCCCACAGCTCAGAATACAGCGTATATTCCAAGCGCCTGGATTGTTTTAGTTGGACTACAATAATATGTAGCTATAACAGAAGCTTTCAAGTGAAAGGCCTTAGTAAAAGCACAATGGGATCACAGCAGTAGCAAATAATGACCATGATAATGCAGAGAAAGAACGTAGACATGCTCTTGTGTGATATAGTAATCGGTCGGCGTGTGTCAGTCAAAGATGGGTGGATTCACTTTTTTTTACCACTAGCTGATATACACGTATATAGCAGCACACAAAGTTGTTATGAGACGGATCTAGAAATAGTGTCTGGTCAACAGACATCAGTGGCGTGTCCGGGGGGTGCTTAGGGTGCTCGAGCTCTGCATATAATTATGACTGGCAGTGTGCGCTACTGTGTTTAGCAAAGCCCTATAGGCAACACATGCAGCCATCATTACATTTCAATACACGTATTTTCTCGCTACAGGCTGCTATAAACCTGCCTCACAAGCCAATCAAGACCTCCGCGAACTACGAGGCGACGCTTTCACGAAGGAGCTTGCCCCGCACCGCGGTGCCGCATGCGCATGCACTATGCGCGCGCTGAGCAACCCTACTGAATTTCTGACAACGCCAGACAGACATACACAGCTACACAGTCATCTCTCTCCAATCTCTCTCGCCCTGCAGAGGGTTCCACAGACGGAACGCAGTGGCCAGCACGAACACCTACACACAGTCTGGTTGTCTTCTACTATTTCCTGGCCGTGGTCGGAATCACCCTCTCCCTGATCGTCTGCCTCGTATTCATTTTACTTTGGCCTACGCAAGAAAGTAAAAGCTATATACTATAACATAGTTCTACTTGAGCACCAACCACAGCATATTATATATTAACACAAACCCAAAGCAAACCCAATGATAAGAAACCAAAGATACTAAAAAACATGGATGTTTCGCAGTAAAAATGTCCTGTATTGCTTATTACTATGTGGCACAGTAGCTACTTTTTCATATGGTATATATGTAACCGGCACACCGGTGCTCAGACCTGACAACTCCTCTGCTCAATAACATCATTGTTTGTGAGCAAATCTTTATGTACGTGTCGGTGTTCTCTTGGTGTCTGGGCTGCCAACCATCGAGAGAGCAGGCGTTCAGATGCAGTGCATTGTGAGTCATACGCAGTCTGCACACTTTGTCGTGTATCGCAGTGGTGCAGTAAGGGTTAAAAAATAGAAAGTGTTACTACAGAAGATGGAAACTAACATGCCCAGTGCAAGAATATTAAGTTCTTCTATTTCAGCCAGTCACAGTTTTCTAAATTAGTCCTATGCTGTTCACTGTAGTATCAGAAAAAGAGAATTATGACATGAAGTGCAACCCTCGGTGCAGTTACGCATGCGCGGCACACGCTATTGATGGCGTGCGCTAGGAGTATGCGTTTACTCGTGGTCGCCACGTTAGTTGGTCTATGGAAAGTCTGACATGGCTTAGCTACACTATAGAGATGGCATGCCGAGGTGGGAGTCGAACACAGCCTTCGTGGTCACGTTCTTGTGCCTCTGCAAGTATATACAGAGAGCAGCGCAAGTCCGGTTGAGTGTAAGCCTTGGTGTGATATTATGCATATTGGCGTTTTTCGTCTTGTTTTTATTATAGGGCAATATCTCGGGTCGAAAGCGTAGTCGTTTTCAGGAAATCGCCGTTTTATATTCCGGTTGCGCGGTATTTTATCTGAAGACGTTGGTATCGCTCATGGGCCGCCTCGTAGCTGTAGTGTGAGAATAGCTGCTGACAGAGGTATAGACAGACAGACAGACAGACACACACAGACCAAGTACCACAACCCTCACTGTGCATGCGCGCCGAGGGTTGTTTTGATTGTGAGTTCAAGTGTGTGTGTGTGGTGTGTGTGTGTGTGTGTGTGTGACGCTACTGTTTGCTGCAACTGTCTTTGATCACAGTGTTGTTCCCCTATTATTACATTATGTTCAGGTCCATGTATGGGGCATATGGGATTGGATACCTGCTGGTGTATGGGACCATTCTGGGCCAAGATGTGGAGGGTCTACCAGATCTTTCATGACCCTACCCCCCAATAAAATGGTACCATCTAAACCTACAGTGAAACTTTTCATGGCCTTCAGAAAAGTAGTGACAGTGGCTGTTGGTGTATAGTTTTGTTGTCCACACTGTGTTTCTGCTGTTCTTGTATATACTGAGGTTACCAACCCGACATAAGTTAAATCAATTTCTTGGGCCTTTTTTGATGTGCTTTTGTCATAATAGTAAGGCACCAAGACAAAGTCACATTCGTAACACAAGGTCTATCACATCAACTAAGATTCCGTTGTAATTTTTTCTGAGATTCTGAAGGCGTGGCACCTGATGTGTGTAGTGGGAACCATCACTGGGTTTGGAGTCCTGCTGATCGTGGCCAAGACAATTGCCCAGCACTGACATCTCCTCAGCTGGTGGATGAATAGTGAGCACTCCCCAGGACTCACTGTGAGTTCTACTATATACCTTATACAGCAATCACATTCTGCAAGCTACCTTTGCCTGCTACTACTACAAGGGGTTAATGGGGTTGGAATGAGTTGAGGGGACTTGGAAAATTTTGACCAAGAGAAGGTCTTATGCGTTTTTGGAGTTTTATGCACTAACAAAATGACAGTCATTAAAAATTCCGCTTGGTATAGCTATACATGCTCCTCTCACACTCCATAAGCATCTAGCGATTTAGGGTTGTGGGAAGTCTTTCGAAAAATCAATTCTTCACCATTAAAGGGTTAACCCCATTTAAATACACACATACGTACACAGAGTTCCTCAGTTCTGGAGGAGTACAGTGTGTGGCAGTGCTACGAGTCAGGCTCCATCCCGTTTGTCCTGGACCTCCTCATCTTTGTCTACCTCGGTCTCCTCCAGCTGGTCGGCATCATCCTCGCCTTCCAGACCCGCAAAGTCAGGATCCCCATTCTGAACGACTCCAAGTCCGTCACGGCTCTCATATACATCTCCAGTATAGTACTGGTGGTGATAGTGCTCATCACCTTCATTCTGAGGGGCTACATCAACATCTGTGCTGCTATATTCTCGGGCGGGGTCATCCTACTCGCCACTTTCTTTCTCGTCCTCAGTTTCATTCCAAAGGTGAGCTGTAGTTTCAGCTCTATACTATTGCCATGCATGAAAATCTTAGCATGCTATATCAGAGAGTCGGTAGACTCTCTATATAAGGACGACACGGGTGAAATCTCACGTGATCCGTGTACAAAACGACTAAAATCTCGGTGAGAATCACTGCCTAGGCCTTCAAAACATACTAGCAATAGTCTACGGGCCCATATCTACCTATACATGTCCCCCAAGACCTCATACGCACCTTCAGTCGTCCACGCGAGAATTCGCTCATACGCGATTTCACGATTTTCGTGTCATCGTCATATTCTTCATCTTCTTCTTCTTCTCTTCTTCTTCAGACCCGCTAGCTCCTTACCGGAAGCACTTGAAGCGTTGATTTTTTCACAGAACGTCTCCGAATTTGCCGGAGGTGTGCATGCATATCAAGCGATCGTTTCTTTCTTGCCGCAAGTCACTACGGTAGATCGTTGAGCTCTTCCTCGGTAGTCACTGAACAACGCCATTTGTTGCTAACTCAGCATCAGTGAGCCGCATGCGCCGAGGAGGGCGTTTCCAATGCGGTGCGCGCGCATTTTGTCTCGTAAACCTGGTCCACGAACGAGACTAAGCCAGCACTGGATGCCTTCAGAGAAAACTACTCTCATCCTTCGGTGCCTTCTGTAAGTCAGTGTGCACATTTGTAAGTGGCTAGCTTGCGTTTTGCTGTTGATTTGCACGAGGAGCAACTTGGCAATCTGCGCCGTGTTACGCGTGCCTTGCCAGGCGCCTTCATTCTTTGTCCCCCAGCTATCATTGTAGTCTGATTTCTGAAGCCTGCCCAATTAAACCACCACCATATGTGCCACAACCTAATCGCGTCCTTGTTGGAGACACTGCTTCAGAGAGCAGTCCATTAGCTTCTGCTTTCAACAGTTATCTCTACAACATACCCATGAACATCAGAGTGACTGAAAATGCAGTGTTGTCATATAAGCTGTTAAAAATAGTGGAAACAAGTGGAAAAATCATTTCTTCAAAATGAAAGTAGGATATAGGGATGACTTGAAGCACCAAAAAGGAAGAAACAAGGGGTCATTACACACCAAATATGCACAAAGCCACATGACACCATCCCTATATCTTTGTTTTATTGTTCATAGGCAAAGTTTAATATGAGACAAAGATATAGGGATGGTGTCATGTGGCTTTGTGCATATTTGGTGTGTAATGACCCCTTGTTTCTTCCTTTTTGGTGCTTCAAGTCATCCCTATATCCTACTTTCATTTTGAAGAAATGATTTTTCCACTTGTAGCATTATTAAGGAACACTTCCCCCATCCCCAGTTTTTGTACACATTACTATTAACCCAAACCACAATAGCAAGAAAAAGTATTGAACAATGCCCTGCTATTCATGCAGAGGCTAAAGACTAGGCTAGAGGCTAAACTAAAAATGTTGAATTGGTGTGGCAATGCCTTATGTGGAAGATGTGCACACCATTGTTTTCATTCACTCCTTCTCCTCTCTAGGCCTGAACCTCTCACCGCGACCCGACGGGAGACCAGATATTCAGTGAGATGCACCCCACACGACAGTCGCAGCGCTCACAGCTCAAAGATCACCAAAACAGCATGTGCGGCCAGCATGGCTGAGTTGAAAGATGAAGAGAAGGTTGTCCTTCTCAACTCTCACCTGGCCAACCTCAATGAGACTCTGAAAGACGAAGAGCAGCGAATAGCAGAGCTCGAATCCATCCTCAAATCCTCTCTACTTAGCTGTAAAATAACTACCGAAGCTGCCGGCGTATATGGACCAATGCTGAGCCGATGCACTTTTCTATTGCTGCCAATGTTTCTCTTAGTGTTTTAGAGCATAATAGTAATTATATACACTCCTAAGATCCTAAGTTTATTAATGCTTGAAGCATCCACTAGCAACATGTGTGTCAATTTTCCATCCACCTCCTACATATTGTTATACAAGACACTTTTTATTGAAACGAGATGAGCATGTCAAAATGAAGTGGTCTTGATAATCCACAGACTCCTAGCACTTCTGAGTCACGCATGTTTGCCACCTATAGTGTTTTTGATTTGGCATGAATTGTAATAACAACCCGCCCAGAGTAACACCCCAAGCCACTACCTCCAGCCCTCAGTAACCAATGGGCCTCACAACATGTCTGAAATCTGACGCGCATGCGCGTTTCGACGATCTGGTGAAGAGAATCATTCACCGCGCCCCCTTTAGAACCAAGTACGTAGGGCCAAACGTCAGACTCCCAGCGTGAACTGGTGCCCCTTTCTGCTGCTGCGTCGTGACGACGCTATGGAATGTGCACGTGAAGAGCCATCTGCATTGAGTACCTCGATCACGCTTTCCGCAATAACCCAATCTTTGATCAAGCGAGCAATTCTCGCTCCGTATGCCTCCATCATGAAGGCTCAAGTATTATACCGGACGTACTGAGAATCTTGGCTATGGACTGGTCCTTCTCTCCATCAAACACGTGATTACTGCGGCAAAGCTTCGAAATCGTTTGTCTCGGTACTCGCTGTCGGCCGCAAATCGAGAAGCTCTTCGCCTCGGTTGATGCTGCTGACCGGCAGCTTTCGACTGGGTCCCGTTTTTTGCCGTCTGCAGATACAGGATTTGGTTGGAGGTGAGGGAGAAAGCGGTGTTTGAACGGGCTGGAGAATACTATTGGTATGCTTCACAGCAAGTATGTGTTGTGAACAGTTTCCTGTGCGTGGGCGTCGCGTACACGTGTGACCCCTCCCCAAGACCCGCACCAGTCGAGAGAGTTACCGATGTGTTCAATACGACGTGATAAATAGCTGCTTCTGTTTGTGCGTCGCAGCAAAGTCCCTCGACGAGTATCAACAAGGAATAGTGAAACGTTCGAAATTGCTCAGCCCGGCGAGTTCTAACTATGATATTTGAATCCGCACCCGAAATTGTCAGGTGCCTGACTTACCCTATCGAAAGAGCACAAGTGTCCTTATCTGGCCGTTACTAGTGAGTTTGTTTTGAAGAGTTTCAGAAGATGCTGGATGTCGACGTTACCACACATTCAATGGACTGGACCCAGCCACCCTTCTAGGGTTCAGAACCCGGAACGTATTGGGTAATTTTCACATTAGGTGTGTAAACTCTTAACTAGCATTATTTTGGGTGTTGTGTTATGTCACAACCGTCATTGCACAAACGTAATGTGAAACGGCTTTGGCTCTCCTTCAATGCCCCGAAAGTATCTCATTACCAGCTTAAAGTCTAAGAGACCACTCGTCTGTCACACCATCAGAGGGTACAGTGAGAGATGCATTAATACATTTTTAAAGGTTGTGATTCTTGAGCAAAGTATGTGATTAAGTGCAACACCCTAGCTAGTGTTAGGTTATCAACTACCACTGAAACACCCTCATAGGGACTTTGTGTCATCTTACATAACATTATGGGTGATTCTTCACATGAACTGTTTCTACGTATGATTACTTAACTACTTGGAACAAGAAAAGCAGTTGTGGCTGCACTGTAATGGGTGCACGTATCTTTTTTGTACTGAGATGCCTCTCAACTAAGCCTGATAATACTCTGCTAATTGTAGGATAATAACCGGTGTGCGAAAAATAATTATTGATAAGGTATCGCAGCAAATAATCAAACACTATGCCACTGAGTCATGGTAGATGGCGAAGCAACATACACTCCATAGCCGTCGCGCTGTCAGTGTAACAAGCCACCACCTCTAGCCCCACTGCCGTCAGCTCCTGCGCAAACTCCTCTTTTGAGAACTTGCACGATATCCCCACGAGAATCTCGTCTCCTGCTGAGAACTTGAGCTCGTCCAGCCCCAGAGACGGGATGGACGCGGTCAGGTCCACCTGCGATACGAGCAGGGACTCTATCGCCGACTTGTCCGGGTTCCAGCGCATGCTCAGCCCTGAAATCCTGCTTCCGAAAGTCGAGCGGACCCGCGGTTGAGGATGTCCAGTACGCGGAGCTTGAACCGCGCGTTGGCTCCGGCCTGGTCCGTGTAGCAGGACTCTATAACGCTCACGTCTTTCAAGAGGTCGATCCCGACCAGCAGAGAGTCTCCCTTGGTCATGACGGCTTTGATCTTCTTGACGAACTCCATGCACTCCGCCTTGGAAGTGTAGTTGCAGACCGTCGTGCCGAAGATTGCGAACAGTCGCCGTCCGTTCCGTCGGATACGGCCCAGGTCGTGGTCGTAATCTCCGACCTGCCCCTGCACTTGGAGCCAATCGTAGTCCCTCGTGAGCGCCTCCCCTGCCTCGCGAATCACACCCTCAGAGATATCTATTGGGGTGTATCTCCTGCACGAGCCCGTGACTAGCATGGCCTCTATTAGACCTCTCGTTTTCTTAGAAGAGCCCGAGCCGAGCTCTATCAGCTCGTCGGGATTTGTTAGCCGCATTATGTTTTCCGACTGAGCAGCGAGGATCTCGTTTTCGGCTACTGCGGGGTAATACTCGGGCTGCTCGATGATGCGTTCGAACAGCACGGAGCCCTCTTCGTCGTAGCGGTACTTGGACGGGATCCAGCGCTGGGGGAGCGTCAGGCCGTAGCGGACGTCGTCTTCCATCCGCTGACGGAACTCGTGCGGCGTCGTCAGCTCGCACACTTGGATCTGCGGCGCGGTCAACGGCGATGGGCTATTATTGCCGTTGCTGAGCTTCTCCACTTTTTTCTGAGCCGTTTCTTGCTGATCTCGGTTTGTAATTATCTCCATACTGGGATATGTTATAGACTGTCTTATTCTGCCGCCCGTTTCAAACGCTTTTTTATAACTGATCAGGCTGCAGCTTCTCGATCTCCGATCCGTCGCGAAACCCACGCATGCGCAATAGACAAAACAGGTCTCGTGACGAGAATCTTGCTGCGCCAGCACCTTCGGCTTCTCCGTCTTGCTGCCGGCCTGATCGTCGTCTGCTTCTTACGTGAGAGATCTAGAGAACTAAGACGTAAGAACAGCTCAATACCTACAGAGTCCACTTACCTGTGACCGTTCCAGCCTTTGTCTTGATTGTAATCTTACTGGCATTGATGGGCAGGGTTCCTATCTAGCTAGCTGTGGGGATATGTAGCGTATACTTTGTACACTGTAGCTACTCGCGATGTGGTGTGGTGTGAATCTAATATCTCTCTCTCTCTGGGGCATAGTTTATAGACTATCTCTGTATGAAATGGCCGCCTCTTGAATAATGCACACCAGGAATGTATCAGATGTGCAAAAATCACCCATTTCATCCTTTGTGTGTGTATTGATTTTCACCTACGCTGTGTCCATGACTACGCAGGGTGGCTAGGAATGCAAAGACTTTTATAAATGACGCCCACAGGGTGGAGATTGAAGCGCATGATTCAGATGTAGTTTCGCATAATGTTATTTACCGTACTATAGTTTGATTAATCCATGGCAGTAAAACTTATAGCACTGTCTGCTGGACAATTTGAGGGTGCCTCAAGCATGAAGTGTGCGAACTTTTTTCTCTTTTTACGGTATGCCATAGAGTAGTTGTTTACTATCGTTTTGTTAACAAAAATCTAACTAGTGTCGTTTCCGCTTGCCCGGCTGTACATGTTAACATGTGTCAACAATGAATCCCCAAAGGCAAACGGTAAAACAAACAACACGATGTCATGTGATGCCTATTGTGTCTCTTGTAGTTGCTACGTACGTATGCACATAATATAGTGTGCGGAATGTTGAGAAGTTGCTGCAGATTCTGGGCAAGTGCTTCACATTTATAGCAGCTACAGCTTTGAACAAGGGGGCCAACGTTTGGTCCCTTGTAGAGAGGTTTGTCCCTATCTCGGAGGTCACTAACGTATGAGCATGGGGTTGAAAAAAGTGTCCCTTGTAGAGAGGTCATCCCTATCTCTGAGGTCAATAATACACTAAAGTGGGGTTGAAACAAGTATCTATTGTAGAGAGGTCGTCCCTATCTCAGAGAGTCCCTTATCGGAGGTCCCACTGAGTACTATTCTAAGCCAAGTTTGCGTATTGTAATAGACATGAGGCTGACTGGCCCTTGCCCCCTATCTTGTCTTCTTCACAGTGTTGGTTGCTTATAGCGGTGCCTAATCCCCAATCTCACCTACTACAGTGTGAGTAAGAAAGAAAACGGTTCCAAAATCGTTCAATTCATCAGCAAAAATGCTACCATAACGCACGAAACGAACGGTGATTACCGTTCTCTGGAAAGGAACTGCACGATAATGCAGGCTACATAATGCCCGTGTCTCTATTATGCATAACACTAGGATATCTAGTATCTACAGTGTGTTCAATGAGTTCAGTGCAGGACTGTGTTGTACAGAGTGTGAAACGTGAAGATGGAGAGCACACCTCTTATGAAAGATGAGGTATGTGTATATACATATGTACTACATGCAGTTATTCAATTATAATTGTACATTATGTCACTGGCAGAACAACAACTTAACCGAAACCCCGTCTTTTTATTTCTCTCCTTACCACCTCCTCTCTTTTTCATTCTCTCTTCTTTTCTCAACCTAACCTTCACCTCTTTTCCTCTCTCTCACTCCCCTCCCTCCCTCTCTCCCTCCCTTTCTCCCTCCCCTCTGGCAGCAACCCTCCCCCCACCAACCAGCCTACCCGCCACAGGCTCCTCCAGGCTACCAGCAAGCTCCTATGCTCCTCCTCAGCATGTCAGTTGTACAGTAAACCCACGAAATAAACACAGCACACTCTCTATAAGGGAGACTTGGTTCTGCCCCATTTAGCTACTAACTCCGAATACAGGATATCTCCACAAGTGTCCCTTATTCTGAGGTTTTACCATTAGTACAATATATATACTTCTTTCTCACATACATTTCAGTCACTGTTCTCAGGTATATACCATTTTCTCTCGGAGGCTTTAGAATGGGTCTATGTACTTGTGTATGTACATATGTGTTGTGTTGTGTGTAGATTCGAACCCCTACCAGCCGAGTTGCCCTGGTAGCTCAGTTGGTAGAGCGCTCGCCTAGACTGCAGAGTGTCGTGGGTTCGAATCCCACCCAGGGCAACTCTTCTTCTTTTCTTTGAAAAGAAAGAGCTGTCGCCGGGTGCAGTTGACTTGTTTGCCTTGCCTTGCCTTTCTACCTCACTACCAAGTTGTGGAGACATGTATGCATACTGAGGGCATATCGTATGCAACGGCATGCTTTGACCATAATGTGATTTGTAGTGTCGTAGCACCTGTTTGTGCTGTACATGTTTTTCTAATGAGTTGCTGATTGGATTTTAATCCGGTATTCCCTCCTTATTTCAGTTATTCGATGTGTAGAATAGCGTGCGTTGTTTGTGGACTCCGTGCCAACTGCGTCCCAAGTGGACGATAATGCAATAACCATCGTGTTCTACCGGGAACTACGTGACTGGTTTTTGTGTGTGGCACTGGCAGCTACAGCTAGTCTATTAGTCCACTAATTTTCCGTGTTATGTAAGCTCATAACATGCTGGCACAGATATAGATTTCTTCACCGCGTTACCCCAGATTATTAGTTAATCCGCTCATCTCGCTCCCCATCTCACGCCATGGTGGACTGAAAGAATGGTAAAGAGTCGGAAGTTAGAAAGAAGGCGAGTGTACCCTACCACTGACGTGGTGTCAGGGATGGCTGGTATTAGTACAGCTAGACCCTATTAATTGCTGGTAGAGTGAAAGTTAACGGCAAGAAGTGTGAGCATCTTGTGGTTGTCGGATATTCCAAAGAATTGCATGACTACCCTTTGCCCGTGGTAGGAAGCTGACAGCCTGACCCTTTAAATGCGTGCTATTGACATGTGATGGAATATGACGGCCCAGGCCTCCTGTCGTCTCTATCCTGTGACAACCGTGTAACGTGACTCTGTGACTCAGTGACATCGTGGTGTGTGTGTGACATTGGGTGTAGTTTCAGAGCTTTATGCAGTAATCTCGGTATGTATGTGTGTGTGTGTGTGTGTGTGTGTGTGTATGTGTGTGTGTGTATGTGTGTATGTGTGTGTGTGTGTGTGCGTGTGTGTGCGTGTGTGTGTGTATGTGTACTTTACTCACCTCTTTACTTTCTACAGCTAACTGTCTCTTCTTTACCCTTTAGTATCCTTCTTTCTCTTCTATTATGTCGTCTTCTACCTCCTTCCCACATCTTTGGTCATCTCTCCCTCGTCGCCTCGTGTTCAAAAACATGTTTCTCTCCATCCATCCATCCCTACCTCACTACATCCATTTATTATCTTTGTTTGTCTCTTTCCCGATCCTCTCTCCCCCCTCTCCACTAGCTCCCCATATTACACCAGAGAAAGATGGCTACCCACCCCACAGCTGGCTACCCACCCCAACAAGTGGCTATCTCCGCGGCACCAATGGGGGGGGGGCCCATCCAGCAGGCACCACCACAGGCTCTGCCACACACACAAATGTAATCACACAGCCCGTGGAGTATTATTACGATACACTTCTGTCATAGAGGGTTTTTTTAGGAATGGGACTGATTGACAATGGGACAAAACCAAGGTGCAGCGATGACTAACAGTACTTGGGATTTCAAACATGGGTTAGCGATGCGAGCGCGAGAGTTGAAGATTTCGCGCAGTGGCCATGTTTTACGCGTATTTCGCTTGAAATAACGTACATATGACGGCGGCCAATTGACCTAACCTCCTAGACGTTCATACTCCTCACAATAACAATCACCTCCCTCACACTGTCTCTCTCTTCTACCAGCCATCCCACTTGATTAGTCTCCCCACCTTCCCACTCTTATATCTTGGCTTGATAACTCCTCAACCTACCGCCTCCTATTCCTTTCCCATTCTTGTTCCTTCCTCTCTCTCCTGCCCTCTCAACTTTCCCATCTTATCCTTGCCTTCGCTCATACCCTGCTTCTAACTTCCATTACTTTATTCCCTTCCCCTCTACCAAAGTGTACGTCTAGCCACCCACATATTGATTCTCCACTTTTACCTTTTTCAATGTTATCACTTGATTTGGTCGTAAGTAATGCCCATCTCTTTTCTTGCTCTCTCTCCGGCCTTTCCTTTCTTGTTTCCACCCGTCTTTCTATCTATCACCCCAATAGTTTCTTTTTCACTCCTTCACACTTCTTACCTTTGTCTACTTTCTTTCGGTTGTCCTACGCCGATCGACAAACAATATTCCCACGTTGAAAACTACTACTACGAAGTTTCACATTACAAATACATTTCTCTGAATCAGCCAATTATACTGCAATGTGGTGTTGTGTAATTCGTCACTTAGAAATTCAGCATTTTGTTTGTATTGCGAGTTGGATACAATTCAGGCAAGCAAAATAAATTTAGCTTCTCGTGTATTGTCAAGCATTAGGTGCGAATTAATTTTGAGCAACAGTATACATTTTGTGGGAAATAGACCGTAGGTGTTTGCTGAACCGAAATTCGCTGGCATTTCAACTGGTAACAGATGTAATTATGTACTTTTGGTTATGATACTCTTTTGCTGTACTGATAATAATCCCAGGAATTTCTTCTGGTAACAGATATGTATACAATAATTATGCATGTAAGGTGTGGAACTATTACATGTTGTTAACGATACTTATTAACAAGTAGGCAGGATACTGAGAAGCTGTGCCTTTCTCCCTTTCTTGGCTCTACTTTGGTACATGTGGCCCCTACAATGATAATATCAATTTTCCTTCGTCCTCTTTCCTTCCGTCGCTCATGCCCTGAACACGAAATGCTACTCTAGCGGAGCA